CGGCGCGTGCGCGTGGCTCGGGACTCCGTGCTCGCGCAAGAACGGCGCCGTCTGCACGTGCCTCGTCCACACCGCGCTCCTGCAGGTCAGTACAGCATACCCAGACTACATACTGACGGCCTCGGTGGTCTAGCGGTTTAGCACACCGCCTTACTTATGATGGTCGCGGGTTCGATTTCTCGCATGGTGCAAGTTTTTGAATTCATGGGTTGGTTGGGACGCCTTGCTCGCGCAAGAACGGCGCCGTCTGCACGTGCCTCGTCCACACCGCGCTGCTGCAGGTCAGTACAGCATACCCAGACTACATACTGACGGCCTCGGTGGTCTAGCGGTTTAGCACACCGCTTTACTTATGATGGTCGCGGGTTCGATTTCTCGCATGGTGCAAGTTTTTGAATTCATGGGTTGGTTGGGACGCCTTGCTCGCGCAAGAACGGCGCCGTCTGCACGTGCCTCGTCCACACCGCGCTGCTGCAGGTCAGTACAGCATACACCCAGACTACATACTGACGGCCTCGGTGGTCTAGCGGTACTTGCTCGTGCAAGAACGGCGTTTAGGTCAGTACAGCATACCCAGACACATACTGACGACCTCGGTGGTCTAGCGGTTTACACACCGCTTCACCTCTAATGGTCGCGGGTTCGATTTCTCGCATGGTGCAAGTTTTTGAATTCATGGGTTGCTTGGGACGCCTTGCTCGCGCAAGAACGGCGCCGACTGTACGTGCCTCGTCCACACCGCGCTCCTGCAGGTCAGTACAGCATACACCCAGACTACAACAATGCCGACCTCGGTGGTCTAGGGATTAAGCACACCGCTTTACTGACGATGGTCGCGGATTTGATTCCTCGCAAGATTTTGTATTCATGAGTATGATTGTTTGAATCAGTCTGGATGTTTTCTATGTATATTATGTCTGTATTTACAAAACATATTATCTCAGTATTTATGTCAGTTGTCTAGTACCCATAACACAAGCTGATGAATAAAGCGTACTCATGAATACAAACAATACTCATGTTTGAATCGTGCGAGGAATCGAACCCGCGATCATCGGAAATAAAGAGGTGTGCTAAACCACTAGACCACCGTGGTCGTCAAATGTCATAACTGATCACATATGATAGTATCACGTTGTTGCTTTGTCATATATTGAGAAATTTAGGTCTTAGATTACTCTAGCGCTTGTAAATATTTCATTAATAGATTCCCGTACTTGGTCGAGAGGGTTTGTAATTAAATTCCACTACAACTAGGGTTGCCAGTCGTCCCGAATTTATCAGGATATGTCTATATAATAGGGAGACAACAATATCAGATCGCCGTGCCATGACAAAGGAAATGGCATGACGCTAATTCTCTCGTTTTTCAACATTATATAAATTACTAGCTGTCCCGGCAAACGTTGTTTTGCCTTAAAATAAAAAAAATTTAGGCGTGGACTACCCCTAACATTTAGGGGATGAAAAATAGATGTTGGCCGATTCTCAGACCTATTCAATACGCTCACAAAATTTCATGAGAATCGGTCAAGCCGTTTCGGAGGAGTATGGGAACGAAAACTGTGACACGAGAATTTTATATATAAGACTAGTAGATCCGGCCACGCGTTGCTGTGGCTAAGGATCTTGAATAAAATAATATTGCGACTATAAATTGAGATGTAAGCTATCCTATCTTTCAAGTTGAATCAAATTGTACATATTGTACAAATCAAATTTACAATCTGTTCAGTATTTTAGGTGTCCATCGCGGACAAACAACGTGACACGTAATTTTTATATATAAAGATTTCCTTCAAGTTTACTGCATATTTGTTGCAGAATTAGAACTCCACTCGATAAAGTACAATTTCTTTGTAATCTCGGGTTTTTTTTTATTCTATTAAGATATTATTTTTATTAAAAGGGATGTTTCTCAATTATTTCTTAATCGTATCCTTATCAATATAGTATATAGCGACATATCTAAATATATATAACTGGAAGGTGACTGACTGACGTAGTGATCTATCAACGCACAGCCCAAACCACTGGACGGATCGGGCTGAAATTTGGCATGCAAGTAGATGTTATGATGTAGGCATCCGCTAAGAAAGGATTTTGATAAATTCCACCTCTAAGGTATAATGTAACTCGAGCGAAGCCGCGGGCAAAAGCTTGTTGCTTCATAATTATGACAGTTCTAATAGAATAGAATAGAAAATCATTTATTCAAATAAACTTACATTGAAGCATTTTTTAATCTACCGCTCATTCGGAAAGCTGTCTCATCACAAGAAGAACGAGCAAGAAACTTGCGTGTTGCTCTTTTAAATAATTTTATTATTACTTTACATTTTTAAGTTTAAATGTGTGAATATAAACCACCAATTAACACTAACGTAAATAGAAAAAATATTGTATATATAACCAACTGGTTAAACAATTAATTGATATAGACTGAAAAAAGACCACAGATTTTACGAATTACATATATGTCAAATAGCCTGTAATATATTCATTGAGTCCCAAAAAAATAATCAAAGAATTGGCTAACCTAGCTACTACCCTCCGCACACAGGGTTGTGGTCGTAACGTTAGTTCGCGATGTTGAATACTGCGGCCCACTGACTGATGATCAACAACCACATGAGCGCAAATAATTACCAACTTAATTGTAATCAGGGTAGGATATCAAATCGTTTGATTTCTGCTACAATGATTCTTATTGTAAAGTATCGAATTAGGTATTTGCGGAAGTCCATTTACTTACTTAATGGATTTGTAATATTTTGTTTAATTCCATTGCCATTAGCATGTGTAATATCACAAATATTCAGTGCGGAAAACTGACCACGGTCGCAGTTTGTTCGCCGAACATGCAACACTAGGCTTTCGAGCTATATCTGTGGTCTATTCAATACCTTAATGCTAAAATAATAAGGCGTGGACTTCGAGTCTATGGGACCTAACGGCGTCATAAAAAAGTGTTCTCATGGGATATAGGCGTCACATTGTGTGAACGGAATTTTCAAGAAGGAGGTATACTAAGGTTCCTTAAGGGTCGGCAACGCGCACGTGATAACCCTGGTGTTTCAGGCGTTCATAGGCTACCATTTACCATCAGATGGGCCGTATGCTTGGTTGCCATCATCGTAATGTAAAAAAAAACACGGTAATGATACTGCTGAATGTGAATACACACGACGATTACTCTTTCCATCAGGCGGGGCACTAGCTTGTTTTTTTTGGTTATATAAAACAATAAGTATATGTAATAATCCAAATGATAACAAATGGTGATCTAACAACGTGATAATATGTAACTGCCAATACAATATATCGAGACGCCGCGGGGATGCCGCCGCAGACATCCCTCTCACCGCCCGCTGTTACAGAATTGTTCACTAATAGAAGAATTAGGGCAATGTGTAGTGGCGATTAATATAGTAGCTTTTATTTCAACCTATTACTTGTACGGGGATATAAAAGACTACCTCACTTTCGCGGTTTCACTCGCAGTTTGATTCAAAAGATAAAGCGGTCGCACTCTTTTCCTTACTTTTTTTAACGTCAAGAAAATCTTTATAGAGGCCCACCGGCTTAAAGGCCAAATGGGGACTGCCGGATTCTTACCGGCCAAAAACCTGACGACTATTCCTCGTCGAACATGTCGCATTTGCATTTTCCATGATCACTGGCATGGTTCCCATCGAAGGGACCTTTCAGGGAATAGCCTGCACGCCATCGCCGGACCCTAATACTTCCCTGGTGAGCTTCGGATCGGTTTCCTGACCCATTATGCCAATGTATAGTGACCGTTAGTCTACCATACTAACGGTCACTTCGCTTTCATTTCAACCTATTAGGTATGAGGATATTAAAGACTAGCTCAATTTCGCGGTTTCACTCGCAGTTTGATTTAAAAGACAAAGCGGCCGCTTTAGGTTGTCTGACCCATCATATGTCATCGCATCGACATCCGTTGTCGTGACTGGATGTTTATAGAACGACTAGCTTTTGCCCGCGGCTTCGCTCGCGTTAATTTAGCCTCTTAGAGGCGGACTTCATCAAAATGCTTCTTTGGGATGCCTACATCATAGTAGCTTTATGCATGCAAAGTCTCAGTCCGATCGGTTTGAAATTGACAAAATTTTATACAAACTTTCATCCCCTATTTTATCCCTTTGGGGGTAGAATTAATCAAAATCCTCTTAGCGGATGCCTACGTCATAACATCTACCTGCATGCCAAATTTCAGCCCGATCCGTCCAGTGGTTTGGGCTGTGCGTTGATAAATCACTATGTCACTCAGTCACCTTTGAGTTATATATATTTAGATTGTGAATTTAGTTGTTAGCATGTTTTGTAGCTAATATTATTGTAAATTCTTTTAGGTTTGACGCGCTCGCGCTCACAGTTTTCCCCCAACAGATGTTACATTTACCTGGAGTAACGATAGTATCTTTGAATCGACGATCACCGCTTACCATTGCTAACTTAGTTACGATTGAAATATCAAACTATACAGTAGGACATTTAGATAGAAATGTGAAGCTCTCTATGGAAGTGTAGTAATGGATGGAAGGAGGCAAACGGAGCGTGTCGCGACGTGTCCCTGCCTCTGCAATTTCCCAAGAGACAAGTTTAAAGCCACTAAAAGCTACCGGCCAATGTGCACTCTTCTCTGTTTCGATTCGTGTCACTTGTCAAAGGGCGGCCTTGTCCATTGTCGTGACTGGATGTTTATAGAATGATATTAATGTATGTTGATAATGGTATGTATTATAATATGCAGTTTTAAATTTGACGCGATTATTATCTATACGTCTAATTAGGAATAATCACGGATCTTTTTCAGTTCGAACCAGTAGTTCCTGAGATTAACATGTTCAAACAAACAAACAAACTCTTCAGCTTTATAACATTAGTATAGATAATTATTAATAACATTAGGATGAAATATCGAACATACAATCTTTTCCAAGCATTCACCAATTTCTTCTTTTTTGTTCCAGGAATTCGCGACCCTTACAAAAGAGCTCAACCAGGCACGGGAACAACTTCTCGAGCGAGAGGAAGAGATATCAGAATTAAAGGCGGAAAGAAACAACACCCGGGTAAGTTGTATTGTTATGTTTCTCAAGAATTTATCACGATGGTTTTCAAGGGGAACCACGTGGAGGTCTATCTGACATGATACTAGATAGGGGACCCTGCTGTTAAAATAGAGGTCGCTAATACCATTACTAATCATCCACTCTTCCCAGAATTCATATTAATCGTAATGCATCTAGCACTATGCATGTTCTAGAGTGCAGACCGCGAATTGGCAAACGTAGTGTAGGACGCCCCGTAGATACGCGGAGCGACGACATACGTAGGGTTGCGGGTAGTAACTGGATAAGAAGGACTGAAGATCCTGCCCAATGGTGTGCCTTGGGAGAGGCCTATATCCCTCACTGGACTGCAGTGGGCTGATGATTATGATGATCTAATGCTATGCTATGTAAAAGGGATTGTATATTGTTGGGTAGCATCATATATATATTATTAGGTTCAGCATTTTTTGAAATTATACGTTACGAAATTTCTTACTACTTTGTGACATTAGTTAGATACTGATAGAACTTGTTAGAGTTCATTGCAATAGTCTTTCTATTAAAGTTATTTACCCAAGCTATGAATAATTTAAAAGCAACTGTGTCTAGACTGCCAAGTAGTCGCTTGACGCTGTATATTCGACGGCCAGACTCCTAGGTAGTCTGTCCGAACAGACAACGATGGGCTTCTAAACTCTAGATATTCATTGCCTCGTGGTGCCTCGTTTAGAGGCGAAACACGTGTCGCAATATGGGTGTGGACTCAGTAACGGTCATTTGACCACCAATAGAGAAGGTTGTAACGCTTCCAGTAGCGGTGGTCAGGTTTTCACACAGAATATTTGTAGTCTCGCACAAGCTAATGCTAGCAGAATTAAACAAAATAATATAAATCCATTAAGTAATGAAATGGACTTCCGCAAAATAACAACTAATTCGACAAAATATTTAAAGAGTTGCCTGTTGTATAAAGTTGTATTAAGAACATTGACCGTAATAGTTTTCGTTAAGAAATATCAGATGGCGTTGTATCAATTTTAGAACGCGCTAAGATTCGGATTTGTTCATATCATGATTTCATGATAATCCGAATATTAAATCGCCCCTTCCGATCGTTACGTCGTTCAAACTGAGATCGAAATTACGACGGCCTGAGCAAAGGAGAGGCTGAGGTGCCCTCAGACTAAAGTCGTATCCGTCAGAGAGGAGTTGTCCTTCAGTCGCTCCAGAAGTCCTTCCTTTGGTGAAGTGCCATCGCACTCGTCCCCTAAAGTGCGGTGAAACTGTAAATGCCAGCTGCGGCAACAGTATAAAAGTAGTCTACTGAACAATCTTATTTGTTCTGCGGAGCAGCAAAAAAAAATAGGAGTCAATTAACTTTGGTACGACTTTTGTTCGTACCTACTCCGGTGAAGCTGTAAAGGTCACAATTTTTGTTCTTCTGTGCACGTATAATTAATTTATTATCAATTAACTTTGGCACCTCTTTTGTTCATATGATTTCCTGAAAACTTTGTGTTAAGTATCCATCTGGTTGACTCTAGTTCTAACAAGATGTGTATGGTTTACAGTTACTATTAGAACACTTAGAATGCCTGGTGTCGCGGCACGAGCGCTCGCTGCGCATGACCGTGGTGAAGCGGCAGGCGGCCGCGCAGTCCGGAGTTTCCTCAGAGGTGGAGGTGCTCAAGGCGCTGAAGAGCCTCTTCGAGCATCACAAAGCTCTCGACGAGAAGGTAACCTGTTCGAAATTCTAATTTGAATTGGACGGACTTGACGGCCTCGTTGGGCCAGCTGTTTAGCACACCGCTTTACTTGTGATGGTCGCAGGTTCGATTCCTCGCACGCTACAAGCATTTGTGTTAATGAGTATGATTGTTTGTAACTGTCTGGGTGTTCTCTATATATATTCTTTTTAATGGATGGTAATAGAATGGTGCATCCGCCTGCGCATATATATATGCAATAGTAGACCGAAAAAAATCTGCCAACGCGTTATCACACATGACGCCCGTGCCTGGCTATTTCGGAAGAACAAGATGATATGCTTATTTCACTACCATATCTCAACCTAAAAATGGAAACACATCTTACAAAGCCACCTATGTATGCCTGGAATAAGGGTATATTGAGGTTTCTTAAGGCTCAATGCTGTAGTCTCACGGAATAACCTTCCTTGGATGCTACAAAGAATCAGGCATATAAAAAGATAAAGTATGATTATTGTAGGTTTTAATTTACTTACTGATAACATTTCAGGTCCGCGAGAGATTACGAGTGGCGTTAGAAAGGAACACAGCTTTAGAAGAAGAATTGGCGTTAACCAAAGAAGAAGTAAGTGGCTCTTATGTTTAGTGAATTATTAAGAATAAATTGTACCAATCTTTTATTAAGAAAATCTTTAAGGGAGTCAATGTTTTTTAAGAGAAAGATTAGTGTATGGCTGTAATTGTTGTACAATCTATCTTTATCTCGAATTTCATTGGACTCGTGCTGTCAAAGCCAACTAGCAGACATATATAAGAATACAGTTTTGTATTTATTTGTTATCTGCTACTTTGTATGAAATTTGCTCTCCTAATTTATCTTTTGGGATACGTATGTATGTACTATTTGCAGTATTTTTATGTATGTTACGGAATCATGCAGCCGCGTGCACTAACAGTTTACGCTGGCGGGCACCAGTGGAGGATGATAGGATGAGCATGAAGTCAGGTGAGTTAGCCCATATTGGCAAATGGCAGTTAAACACGCGTGAAGTTCAACCTGACATGGTAGAGATGAGGTTATTAGTCCACATTACTAATTATTAATACCACCTACTATTTGCAGTTGCAACAGTACAAATCGTCAGGACAGGACGACAAGCCGAAGGAAAACGGCACAGTGCCGACTGGATCGCCCGAGCAGAACGGCGAACAGCAGCAAACTAAGGTAACCTAACTGTATATTTTATAACAGGGCTGCCAACAAAAAAATGTAATTACCAACCTTTGAACATTTAGTCTTGGACGAAGAAATGGACGACCTCGGTGGTCTAGCGGTTTAGCACACCGCCTTACTTCCGATGGTCGCGGGTTCGATTCCTCGCACGACACAAACATTTGTATGTTATCTCAAATTGACTCTAGCTTTGTACTTTATAGTATTTTGACCGATTTTCGTAGGTCGAAATCTCGTACAAACATGTACGAGGTGAAATATTCGGGTACCGATTCTTTAACCTCATATTCTGACCGATATTCATAGACCGAAGTATCATACATAATTTGTACGAAATGATGTCACGAAATGTGGTCAAAATGTCGTATTTTTCGAGGATTCGAGTATATTTGGTATTTCTATGTCGTAGTGAATATGCCCATCTAAAACGTCTAGTGAACATATTTGGGCAATTTAACGGTTGTGTTCCTTTCTCTCGTGTTGGTTTTTCTATTTGAAAGAAAGTGACAAATAATAAAGTTAAGCCAATACATAATAAATAAACATACATAAGAATTGGCCTTTGGCCTCATCACTTGTTCAAATATGAAAAAGTTTAAAAGTAGACTAGGCTGTACGGTCTAAGTATATTTGCCTGTTCCATCACTGAAAAGGAGATGGACGAATATGGAAAAAAAAAAATATTTATGGTTGATAATATAGCTGACTGTAAGGAAAAGAGTTATTAATAGTCTAGTGTTTTTTTTTTATAATTTATCCGGTTTATAGTACCAACTATAATCAATATCGGATATTTCTAATATAGGTAATATTAGTCTTATCAAAAGCATTATCGTTTTGAGTACTAGATAGTATTCGGCCATAGACGTCCTGAAAACGGTCTTGAGATATATTGAAAGAACATTTATCACGGTTCGGGATAAACGCGTCCTTCATTGAGTCAGAAGCACGCTTGATACGATCTTCGGTACTTGTAACAAACACATCATACGTTACAGCCCATCGCACAGGATAAAGATAAAAAAGAAATATTTCTTTTATTACGATAAAATAATATCACATTTTTCGAGGATGGCAACACATGGGCGGTGAATGTTTCTTATATTGCGATAAAATAAATATTTTGACAAATTTCGAGGATGGCAACACACGTGTTGAAACGGTGTAGATTCTACACGTTTATTATGTTTATGTATAGAGTTTGTGTTCTTTTTGTTAAAATTAAAACCTTCTTCAAACTCTTTTAATTATTAAATCAAAACGCCTTAGATTGTTTATTTTTTAGTATTTTTTTTTTCTACAAAGCAATATAGTTTACCTCGCTTATTCATTAAAATTAAAACGTACAAATCTATTTTTGTTCTTGGTGTCACTTTTTTACAAATTATGAAATCAACTTGAAAGATAAGGACAAAACAGTTTCATAGATAACATATGTTTATTACATGTTTGAAGTTATATATAAAAGGTGTTTGAGAATTGAGTCTAAATCTTTTTACGTCTAATGCATCTAAATTTAAAGTCAAAAGTCAAAATCTAAAGTTTAATTTATTGGATTCTATTTTGTAAATAAATATTGTCACGTTGAAACCACTACAAGATTTCTTACTCTAAAATAATCTCGAGTCTGATTATGTAACAGTTGCAATTGTTTCTTATTTGAAACTAATGAATATTGTACATTTGTGTTACTGCATCGATTATGTCGCAGTTAAAAATACAAATGGTAAGGTTTGTAATTGGAACTTGTGGTTGTTATATATGATTACAATTTCAATGGTTTTACGTAAGAAACAATTGCAACTGTCTTACGTAATAAAGGCTCAAGTAATTTTAAACTAAGTAATGTTGTAGCTAAACTGGACATGATCAGCAGTTAATACGTAGGATATAAAGACATACGAGTCACTTCTAGAAAGCTTGAATAATGTAAAAACTTACGGGTCACTTCTACAATTCTCGAATAATATTAACTTCAACATGTTTCAATATTCATAATAATTAATCAATTTATTGCTAACAATAGTACGAAGGTATAAGAAGATAAGATTGTCATATGTTTGATATCATTATAATACAGCATAATAAGTTTGGGATTCTATGAAGTGATTTTTGTATGTTTGTAACTGAAACTTTGTACATTTCGACTAAGTACACAACTACCTTTCAAAACTCACACAACCGACTCAAACGATATTTGAACTGGGCTTAACTATCTATTTAATATAGTTGCTAACAATTTCTATTTGAAACAAATAAAAATTTATACTTTTGCGATTATGTATTGAACATTCCACAGTTTCATTTGTTAAGCATATGATTTAGTTTTATAGTAAACTAGCTACTACTACGAGCCGCCCCGGCTTCGCACGGGTGCACACATATTATACATAAAAACCTTCCTCTTAAATCACTCTATCAATTGCTAAAAACTGCATTCAAATCCGTAAATAGTTTAAAAGATTCAAGCGAACAGACAGCGGAAGCTTTCATTTATACTATATAAAAATAAAGATATTTACTTCTCTCACCTCTCTTGATATTTCGAGTAGGCTTGTCGATATAAATAATCATTAAAAAAACAAAAATTTAAAAATAACCAAATGATTTCGATTGTAACTGTCAAATTATTTATACATAATCGCAAACCAATAATCTGTTACAATCGTGAGTTGTTAGCAACTATGTTAGGTAATTAAGCAGCTGATGTTTGTATTAGATGCTTAGTGAATGGATGTTGATTGTGGCAAGTTTGTTTTGTCTAGTTTACGATGGTTTTACTCAATTTTTTTATGATAACGAAAGTACCTCATTTTTTTTAATGAAACTCTACTCATAGTTGGTTTATTGGATATTGCACGCTTGTAAATTTATTGTAATTATGCCTCTCTTTCGCACAGTTCTTTATTGTATGTAGCCGTCAAACTGCAATATGAAGGTTTTTTTCTTTTCTTTTGGAATATAATGGTTTATTACACGATCATTTGTAATCGGTTTTTTATTGATCATGAACGGTGTTACTTGAATTTGCTAAAAATCAATAGATTTGCATCCAGTTCTTACTTGACCGGTTATATTTATATATAAATAATATAATACCGATTTATAATTTTTAACAATAATTTTTATATGGTAACCTTATTATATTTCCAACACTGGGAAGAAATTATAAATTTTTTTAAGGTTTTGTATTTTATGTTGGGCTAAAAAGGACTTGTATCCAGAGCCGTAAAATATTAAATAAAAAAAAAAGCAGTCTTTATTAGACCTGGCAACACTGTTGATGACTGTTGCAAACGTATAGTGTAATTGGAACTCGAAACGGTTGCGGTAGAAAAACAAAAATTGAGTAAAACACTCGCATAATATCTACCTAAACATATGAAAAGATATTTAGAAATTTAAATACGTGATTTTAATTAGAAATTAATGCTATTAATATTTACTTTACTACTCAGAAAGAACATTACAATGAAAATTAAGTTATTTTTAAAATTTTAAGTTACTTCTTATGAGAGTTTTGAATCTGAACTGGATCGAAACCTGTACTACAGATGTCCAGGCTCTGTCCGGGACCTTACGGTACTATATCATACTTTATTAATGTAAATAAACGGAATTTAATACGAATAAATTTATGGTGAATATCAGTATTTACCTCTCTCCTTATTTACTTTTATCTATACATCTATACATATAAATAAAATTGTAGTGTCTGTTTGTAATATTGAAATAACCGATTTTACTACATGCATATGAATATAAATACAGTACAAACACCAAAATAACATTTTTTACAATTTTTGTCTGTCAGACTGTCTGTCAGTTTGTTCCGGCTAATCTCTGAAATGGCTGGACCGATTTCAATGGGATTTTTTTGGCAGGTAGCTGATGTAATAAACAGTAACTTGGGCTACTTTTATTTTAGAAAAATAAAGTAAAATTCCACGCGGACGAAGTCGCGGGAACAGCTAGTTTACAATAAAATTATTCGTATTATAACCCGTTTAAATATATTAATAATGTGTACTAAGTTTTAGTACATGTGAATAATAAAACTTTCGCGTCTAATGTGTACTAAGTTTTAGTACATGTGAATAATAAAACTTTCGCGTCTAATGTGTACTAAAAATAAGGTTTTTATACTTCTTAAAAAAGATTATATCTGTTTGTGAGGTAAAGTTAAACAATTTTTAAGTTGTAGTAATAGTTTGTGTGTGCGTGTGTGCATGAAAGAGGATGTGTAAAGAAAAATATTAGTGTGTTAGTTATTTAAGTTATAATTTTTGTTTGATGGTGAACACAGGAGAATAGTGTTAACGGCGACTCGGACACAAGCAAGCGAATCACAGAGCTACATAACACGGTCGCCAAACAGGTTAGACTACAACTGTAGCTACAGTACGTACACGCATTGTAAACCTGCGTTCGGTCATGTATTGTGGTGGGCAGACTATAAAATGTTATATAACCTCGCAGAAATATTGGCGGGAAAAAGATGACATGTTATTTTATATATGCTTTATTAGAGATATAACTTCTCAAAAATTGGCGGGAATTAAATGTCACGTTATTTTTTTTAACAAACAGGTGGAAAGGCAAACACGCATTGTGAACTACGTTCCTTATAGAGTTATATACCTTGCAAAAATTGGCGAGAAAAAGATGACATTTATTTTTTTTTCATTACTACTATATATGCATTTATATAACGCACTATACATGTTATTTTTTTTTCATTACTACTATATATGCTATAGAAAGGCAAAAGTATTTTCTTATAGAGATATAACTTCTCAAAAATTGGCGGGAATTAAATGTCACGTTATTTTTTTAAACACGGTCGACAAACAGGTTAGACTACGACTGTAGCTGCAGTACGTACACGCATTGTGAACTTGCGTTCGGTCAAAGATTAAAATGTTATATAACGAGAAATATTGGCAAAAAGATGACTGTTATTTTTGTTCTACAGTACGTACAGTTATAACCTTGCATAATGTGATTTTTTTTAACACGGTCGCCTAAATGATTCGACGTTAACTGTAGCTACAGTACGTACACGCATTGTGAACTTGCATTGGGTCATGTGTGATGGCAGACTATGTAATATAACCTCGCAAAAATATTGGCGGCTAAAAGATGACATATTATTTTTTTTTCTTTATTATGTCTTCTATTGAAAGGCAAAGATACTATCTTATAGAGCTGGGACTTCGCAAAAATTGGCGGAAAATAGTTTCTTGTTATAGAATATTTTCCGAATATTTTTATATAGTATACATCTGTATTGCATTTCGAATAGAAATATTTAAAAACAATTTTGTAAATGAGTATATTTTTTTGTTAACTAACAATACAATAAACATAAAATATTACAGATACATTACTAAAAAGTACATTTATTTAAATTTATATCTCAACCACCTGTTTTTTATAGGCAAAACGTGCGAATATACACACATAAAAATAAATTTCCAGACGACAATGAATATTATATTTACTTTAGTAAGTAAAAACACTTAAGTACTTGAAAAATGACACTAACTCTATGATTATAAACTTTCTAGTCTGTCCCATCACCATACATAACAAAACCGTACCACGAAAGCTTGTTTTTTCAATTTCGTATCGTTCAACCGTCCATTCATTTTGGGACGAAACGCCACATACTGACCGCGGTAAGAGAACTGATCAGGCCCAGGATGCCATTGCACGTTCGTGTCACCATCGCATTGTACATTTTATTTTGAAGTCGGTAGCAGCATAGACAATTGTGTAGCTAAAATAAACCCACCTACGCAAAGAAAAATAGATCATACAGCTTATATAACGACAATAACACGGCTGGACAAAATAGCATTGTATTTTACATAATCGTAAATATATCAACAAGATTTGGTTATTAAAATGTATACATATATAAATGCAAATATAGAATAAAAGAGATATATATATATATATATATTCAGCAAATAACACTGATTGATTCATTTGTTTCTATTCAAATTTAAACCAAGAAACCATTAGGTGTTGATATATTTTTGATTGCAATAACATTAGATAGTTTAAAAGCATGCTTAAATACATTACACTAACTCCACGTAACAACAGATGTCATAACACACTAACACTCATCGATCGACTCACTAGTAAACATGTCACATCACTAATGATCCATTGGTATTGGTTTAATGTTAATCTACAGGGTGTTGCAGTTGTTAATACAGTATGTTTCAGGATTTTGTTCAGAGAATTTACTTTTATACTTAGTTTAAAATATTGTTAATCTACATGCTGTTGCAATTGTTATTACAGTATATTTCGGGTTTCTATTCAGGGAACACATTATTATAAATTAAAAAAAATTACGTTCATAAGCGGCTAAAATGTCCTATATGGATAAATGAATTTTGAATTTGAATTTGACGAAATAGTTAGATTTTAAAGTTGTGTTCGAATTATATAAAAAAAACTTTGTCGGCGACTTTGTCCGATTATTATTTTATTTTTCTAAAATAAAAGTAGTCTAAGTAACTCCTTATTACATCAGCTACCTGCCAAAAAAGTCCCGTCAAAGTCGGTCCAGTCATTTCAGAGATTAGCCGGAACAAACAGACCGACAGACAGACAGACAAAAATTGTAAAAAATGTTATTTTGGTGTATGTACCGAATTTATATTCATATGTAGGTAGTAAAAACGGTTATTTCAATATTACAAACAGACACTCCAATTTTATTTATATGTATAGACAATACACTTAAAATCTTTTAAATTATTAACACAAAGGCATTTAACTCTATCCATAAGTATAGTGACGCATGGGGATAGTAGGGGTATTACCAAATGTGATGTACGAGGTACCATTCATAATTAACCGTCGTCTGTTACCATCAAATGGACTATTTGTAGGTTACCATTCATAATAAATAACGTCTTTGTCGAGTAGTTGTACCATCAAATGCACTATTTGTAGGTTAGCCATTATTCCCCCATAAATAAATAACGTCTTTGGGGTAGTAGGGTGTGATGTACGAGGTACCATTCATAATTAACCGTCGTCTGTTACCATCAAAAGATTATTAGTAGGTTAGCCAGTCTCCCCCCATAAATAAATAACGTCTTTGGGGTAGTAGGGTGTGATGTACGAGGTACCATTCATAATTAACCGTCGTCTGTTACCATCAAATGGATTATTAGTAGGTTAGCCATTATTCCCCCATAAATAAATAACGTCTTTGGGGTAGTAGGGTGTGATGTACGAGGTACCATTCATAATTAACCGTCGTCTGTTACCATCAAATGGAGTATTAGTAGGTTAGCCATTATTCCCCCATAAATAAATAACGTCTTTGGGGTAGTAGGGTGTGATGTACGAGGTACTATTCATAATTAACCGTCGTCTGTTACCATCAAATGGATTATTAGTAGGTTAGCCATTATTCCCCCATAAATAAATAACGTCTTTGGGGTAGTAGGGTGTGATGTACGAGGTACCATTCATAATTAACCGTCGTCTGTTACCATCAAATGCACTATTTGTAGGTTAGCCATTATTCCCCCATAAATAAATAACGTCTTTGGGGTAGTAGGGTGTGATGTATTATTCATAATTAACCGTCGTCTGTTACCATCAAATGGATTATTAGTAGGTTAGCCATTATTCCCCCATAAATAAATAACGTCTTTGGGGTAGTAGGGTGTGATGTACGAGGTACCATTCATAATTAACCGTCGTCTGTTACCATCAAATGGATTATTAGTAGGTTAGCTATTATTCCCCCATAAATAAATAACGTCTTCGGGGTAGTAGGGTGTGATGTACGAGGTACCATTCATAATTAACCGTCGTCTGTTACCATCAAATGGACTATTTGTAGGTTAGCCAGTCTTCCCCCGTAAATAAATAACGTCTTTGGGGTAGTAGGGTGTGATGTACGAGGTACTATTCATAATTAACCGTCGTCTGTTACCATCAAATGGATTATTAGTAGGTTAGCCATTATTCCCCCATAAATAAATAACGTCTTTGGGGTAGTAGGGTGTGATGTACGAGGTACCATTCATAATTAACCGTCGTCTGTTACCATCAAATGGATTATTAGTAGGTTAGCCATTATTCCCCCATAAATAAATAACGTCTTTGGGGTAGTAGGGTGTGATGTACGAGGTACCATTCATAATTAACCGTCGTCTGTTACCATCAAATGGATTATTAGTAGGTTAGCCATTATTCCCCCATAAATAAATAACGTCTTTGGGGTAGTAGGGTGTGATGTACGAGGTACCATTCATAATTAACCGTCGTCTGTTACCATCAAATGGATTATTAGTAGGTTAGCCATTATTCCCCCATAAATAAATAACGTCTTTGGGGTAGTAGGGTGTGATGTACGAGGTACCATTCATAATTAACCGTCGTCTGTTACCATCAAATGGACTATTTGTAGGTTAGCCAGTCTTCCCCCGTAAATAAATAACGTCTTTGGGGTAATAGGGTGTGATGTACGAGGTACCATTCATAATTAACCGTCGTCTGTTACCATCAAATGGATTATTAGTAGGTTAGCCATTATTCCCCCATAAATAAATAACGTCTTTGGGGTAGTAGGGTGTGATGTACGAGGTACTATTCATAATTAACCGTCGTCTGTTACCATCAAATGGATTATTAGTAGGTTAGCCATTATTCCCCCATAAATAAATAACGTCTTTGGGGTAGTAGGGTGTGATGTACGAGGTACTATTCATAATTAACCGTCGTCTGTTATCATCAAATGGATTATTAGTAGGTTAGCCATTATTCCCCCATAAATAAATAACGTCTTTGGGGTAGTAGGGTGTGATGTACGAGGTACCATTCATAATTAACCGTCGTCTGTTACCATCAAATGGATTATTAGTAGGTTAGCCATTATTCCCCCATAAATAAATAACGTCTTTGGGGTAGTAGGGTGTGATGTACGAGGTACTATTCATAATTAACCGTCGTCTGTTACCATCAAATGGATTATTAGTAGGTTAGCCATTATTCCCCCATAAATAAATAACGTCTTTGGGGTAGTAGGGTGTGATGTACGAGGTACCATTCATTATTAACCGTCGTCTGTTACCATCAAATGGATTATTAGTAGGTTAGCCAGTCTTCCCCCATAAATAAATAACGTCTTTGGGGTAGTAGGGTGTGATGTACGAGGTACTATTCATAATTAACCGTCGTCTGTTACCATCAAATGGATTATTAGTAGGTTAGCCATTATTCCCCCATAAATAAATAACGTCTTTGGGGTAATAGGGTGTGATGTACGAGGTACCATTCATAATTAACCGTCGTCTGTTACCATCAAATGGATTATTAGTAGGTTAGACAATCTTCTTTTAAAAAAATTGATTAAAAATTGAAAATTTGATAAAAATTTAAGAATTCGTTAACGATAATAATGTTTTTGTAGAAAAATTTTAAATCCATAGCACTGACAATATTATCTGATTACACTAATAATGAGTGCGTAGCGATTTCTATGTTGATTATCGCATGCCTCTTACTTGTTACACTGTAATTATTTATATAAAAAAAAACATCTATTAAAAAGAGCAACACACAAGTTTCTTGCTCATTCTTCTTGTGATGAATCTGCATTCCGAATGAGTGGTAGAATCAAAATATGACTATTCAAAAGTGCTTGTAATGAGTTTATTTGAATAAAGATTATTTCTATTTCTATTTCTTAAAAAAAAAATTAACTTCTAATAGCGGATAGCCATCTCCCGAAACGCACCATTCGGTTGCCAGCCCACTAGTTTCCGGACATAGAGCAGCGTACGTCCGGTATCTATTAATAGACAACTCGAGCTAGCCCTGCCATAGTGTAACAGATCCTTATAAAGTACTGTATTAGCAACACACTACAACCGTTTTGGGACTTGTAACATAGATTGTATTTAATAATTGTTAAATTAAAACGAAAGTATGCTTGTAATTTTCATAAAGTCTTTATGCAATGTATTTAGTTTCTGATTGATGATAATAGAATGATGCACTCCGCGCATGCGATGACTGTTTACGCTGACGGGGCACCAGTGCAGAATAAATGAGCATTGAGCCTGAAGTCAGATCAGTTAGCGCATCCTGGTAAATTCAACAGGAATTTGTCATGATGGTTTCCAGGGAGACAGCGTGAAGATCAATCTGCTACCTCATTTCTAACAATCGCCAATAGATTAAAGTTTTTACAGACAGGGTATAGGTGAAAATATTTCATTTGCGATAACATATACAAATGGTTGCCATATTGAAATTCAACCATAATTAATTTCAATTATAAGTTTGAACATTATAAACGTTTTATTCTCAAATACTATAATTCTATGTGTGTGTCAAATACCTTGTAATGTGTGTGATGTTTTTTTTACTTATTTAATGTATTTTTATGCATAATTTAAAAATACATTTAATTCTGCAATAATTCTCTATCTAAATACTATATATACTATATATATTTAGATTATCAACGCACAGCCCAATAGTAGCTTTATGCATGCAAAGTCTCAGCCCGATTGATTTAAAATTGACAAAGTTTCATCCCCTATTTTATCGTAAAATCAAAATCCTTTCTTAGAATATAAAGTTTTTCAGCTTCCAGTGGTTTGGGCTGTGCGTTGATAGATCACTTATTAATATATATGTTTGCACCTTATTAATATAATGTTTGCAAACTATGGGGAAGTTTTATGAGAACTACAAGCATTCTTATTCATCTTGCATATATGAATCTGATTAATTATTGAATTTATTATAAAAATATGTTATGTTTGATTATTTAGTCAGCAGAATTGAGCTCGTGGCAGCGACGAGTCGCAGAGCTGAACAATAAGGTGTCAGACCTGGAAGACAGGCTCGCCAAGGGCGAGAAGGAGCTGGTGAAGAAACAGGATGAATGTGCCAAGCTGCAGCGGGACCTGAGAGAGAACGTCGCGCAGAAAGAGGATCAGGTGAGAGTTATCGCTCATTGTTTTTTTTGTGGATGATAATAGAACGGTGCACCCGCCTATCGTGACAAATTTACGAGTAGTTAATTTTAAACATTCGTGTTTAATATACATTATTTAAATTATTAACCGGGTCTTAACACGAATAATTTTATGGCAAATAAAGGTATTTACCTCTCTCGACGTTTCGACTAGGTTGCACTAGCCGTGGTCACGAGCTGACTGGAGTAACAGCGATGTCAAAGTAGATAGGTGACAGCAGTTTTTTCTTCATCTACCGTCACTAGATTGTTTAAGTTCGTGACACACAGCACTCACGGTATCCGTACACTTATTGACTATTGATGCTACTGAACTTTGCTTTGGTAAATACCTTTATTTGCCATAAAATTATTCGTGTTAAGACCCGGTTAATAATTTAAATTTACGAGTAATTTATCACGATGGTTTCCAAGGGCAACCGCGTGGAGGTCGCCCTTACATGATACATTGCTAGCAATGGGTCACATTACTGAAAATTCCCTTTTCCCTCTTTAATAATTTTATAAACATTATTTGATACGTAACGTAGTATACTTATATAGATAACAAATAGACACTGTTAATTTTTCATGCCAGATTCTGGTGAAAAGTGTGAAACTAAACCACCACCACGTCTTGTCTACCCAAAGTTGTTTTGGAAGCGATTAGACCGCCTTTTGTGCCTTATTACTTCTGGTTATATTTATAAAGTTTACTGTTTATTGCTCCAGAAGTAAATTATAAAATAAACAACCTGCTTCCTAAATGTAAAAGAGTCTTATAAATGTATAATGAATTTGCAGGAGGAGCGGATAGCAACTCTTGAGAAGAGATACCTGAATGCGCAGCGCGAGTCAACCTCGTTACACGACCTGAACGAGAAGTTGGAACAGGAGCTCCAACACAAGCAGGCGCAACTGAAAGTGAGTACTTGTAAAATAGGGTATGGAATCGAGAGAGAAATAAAAATAATCTAAACTGAACTAATGGACTCGGTGGTCTAGCGGTTTAGCTCACCGCCGTACTTTCGATGGTCGCGGGATCGATTCCTCACACGGCACAAGCATTTGTATTCATGAGTATGATTGACATGACAGTTGTCTAGTACCCATAATACAAGCTTTAGCTAGCTTACCTTGGGGCTAGATGGCGCTGTGTGAATTGTCTGTCTGTCAAATATAATCTTTATTTAAATAAACTTAAGTACTTTTGAATAGTCACATTTTTTTTATTCTACCACTCATTAAGAACGCAGACTCATCACAAGCTTTATCACAAGCTTTATCGCTCATTCTGAGCGATAAACTTGCGTGTTGCACTTATAAATAAACCGGCAGAAGTTGTTTTGCCTTAATATAAAAATAAAATTTAGGGGTGGACTACCCCTAACATTTAGGGGGATGAAAAATAGATGTTGGCCGATTCTCAGACCTACTCAATACGCTCACAAAATTTCATGAGAATCGGTCAAGCCGTTTCGGAGGAGTATGGGAACGAAAACTGTGACACGAGAATTTTATATATAAGATATTGTTCAGATTTATATTTTTAAGAATTTTGTAAGAATACAAACTGCCAAATAACAAAGTTGACATAAATAAATAGTATTAATATAGTATTTAATATTATATACATTCACAAACGGGGCGCAGCTGAAGGTTACAGTATATGTAATGATAATATGGATTCTTCAAGTCTATGGTGAATAGATATCTTCTGGGTAAGCGCGTTACATCCTAGGTCTTGCCATCATTTACCATCAGATGAGGTAAGACCAAGCGCAAACCCATTATTAATAAAAAAAAAATAATACGGACAATTCATAATATGGAGACAACTGCTGTGAGGCTTGGTCGCCGTGCTGGTTTTCGACAAAAATCTGCAGATTTACTCTGCGAAGAAAACGAACGCCACTACACATCCTATGTGGTTGTAGCCCACTCAAACATAAACGTAATATCTCCTTTGGAAAGTATACACTCTGTCCTGAGGAGATATAGATCATCGCTCTAATATCTCCTCTGGAAAGTATACACTCTATCCTGAGGAGATAAAGACCTTCGCTCTAATATCTCCTCTGGAAAGTATACACTCTATCCTGAGGAGATAAAGACCTTCGCTCTAATATCTCCTCTGGAAAGTAAACACTCTGTCCTGAGGAGATAAATGCCATGGCTCTAATATCTCCTCTGGAAAGTATACACTCTGTCCTGAGGAGATAAAGACCATCGCTCTAATATCTCCTCTGGAAAGTATACACTCTGTCCTGAGGAGATAAAGACCATCGCTCTAATATCTCCTCTGGAAAGTATACACTCTGTCCTGAGGAGATAAAGACCATCGCTCTAATATCTCCTCTGGAAAGTAAACACTCTGTCCTGAGGAGATAAATGCCATGGCTCTAATATCTCCTCTGGAAAGTATACACTCTGTCCTGAGGAGATAAAGACCTTCGCTCTAATATCTTCTCTGGAAAATATACACTCTGTCCTGAGGAGATAAATGCCATCTCCTCCTCTGGAAAGTATACATTCTGTCCTGAGGAGATAAAGACCTTCGCTCTAATATCTCCTCTGGAAAGTAAACACTCTGTCCTGAGGAGATAAATGCCATGGCTCTAATATCTCCTCTGGAAAGTATACACTCTGTCCTGAGGAGATAAAGACCATCGCTCTAATATCTCCTCTGGAAAGTATACATTCTGTCCTGAGGAGATAAAGACCTTCGCTCTGATATCTCCTCTGGAAAGTATACATTCTGTCCTGAGGAGATAAAGACCATCGCTCTAATATCTTCTCTGTAAAATATACACTCTATCCTGAGGAGATAAAAACCATCGCTCCTAAGAATATCCATCGATTCTTGTCCCTGGCGGGTCTAGTGAACTTTGATATAATTGAATGGTATGCTATGCAGGTCGCAGTGCTACAGATCTTAGTACCTAAATATAACCTAAAAAAATGTGCTGTGTATGGATATGTAATATTATATTATCTGTGGTATGGATAAACAAATGACTACCCCAAAGTTCGAATATAGAGTACTTTTTGTTCTAAGATATTATTAAAATGAAATAGCGTGTAAAACCACGTGGCACTAGACGCTATATAATTCACGCTGCCAAATATTTGAACTTCATTCGCTCAAGCATGACATTGTAAATACGCATTCTCGACAGCTCCAAGAGGAGAAGATCGCAGCAATAGAAGAGAAGTTGGAGCTGTCCACGCAGAAGTTGGCGCAGATGTCCTCGCTTCCCGAAATGGAGGAGCAGCTCAGGGCCCGGATGGAAGCCCTGAACCAGGTTGGTACAATGGTAACTACTTTTCATACTTATTACTAATATTAATTAGATCATGCTTTCGCTTACCCATTTGTTGTCTTGACATATAGTTTTGAAGTAAGTGTGCTTATGCGAGAGGTCGCCATTGAGTAAAGTTCAGCGTAAAAATGTCTGGTGATACAAAAAAATGTTAATTTATAATCACCATTCATGCAATTTACGTTCTCTCGGTCGGTTAAGGGTTTTTTTTAAATTCTAGAACGTATTTATTTAATTCTAGATATAATAGAATAGAATAGAAAATCATTTATTAAAATAAACTTACATTGAAGCACTTTTGTATAGTCATCACATTTTTTTTATCTACCGCTCATTCGGAAAGTTATATCATCACAAGAAGAACAAGCAAGAAACTTGCGTGTTGCTCTTTTAAATAATTTTATTGTTACTTTACAATTTTAAATTGAAGTGTGTGAATACACACCACTAATTAGCACTAATTCAATTAAATATTCAAATAGAGAAAATATTAAATATACGACCGACTGGTTGAGCAACTAAATAAGAGTAAATCACTCGTAGTGATTAGAGCAGTCCCCACAAGTAGCACTCGTTCACGAGTATGACGGATGAGCCAGCCATCACTGCACTGCAATCACTGCGCTCGACCATATATTAGGGACCCTGCCCACCACATATAATAAATACAATAGATGCTATATTAACCTATTCGCGTTCGCAACTAAATGCATTGTGTGTTCTCGTACTTTCGGATGTCGTTCTCTTAAGTTATCATACTGTTGGAAAGTATCGGGACAAACTTTCAAAAAACAATTGCTGTTTCCAAGCCGATTGTATAACTACAACTAAATTAAATTAAAATTTCAACCATTCCTGTTCGCAGTCATCTCGTTACTCACTCCTTTTCTTATCATATCATCCTTCACACAGTCCATCCATCTCTTTTTTGGCCTTCCTCTACCTTACTTACTCATATTTAATTCTTTCTTTAAAATATGATATTCATTTCTACGCATTACATGAGAAGCTTTTCAACCTATCCGACACTATAGAACCTGTTGCATACTGAATCTGTTAAATACTGAAAATGTTGCATCAGAGGGATGTGGATGTGGATGGGACAGTGGGGTTCTTATCCACTAAAAGCCCCGTTAGGCCACTTTGCATGCCCTATTTTTGCAGAGTAGGTATTTTATAATAATATAAATAGTAATTAATATATTATACATGAACAAACTGTTTTTTTTTATTAAAGTCTAGCTGTTCCTGCGTCTCCGTCCGCGTGGAATTTAACTTTATATTTCTAAAATAAAAGCAGCCTAAGTTACCCCTTATTACATCAGCTACCTGCCAAAAAAAGTCCCGTCAAAATCGGTCCAGCCATTTCAGAGATTAGCCGGAACAAACAGACCGACAGACAGACAAAAATTGTAATAAATGTTAGTTTGGTGTGTGTACCGTATTTATATTCATATGCATGTAGTAAAAAACGGTTATTTCAATATTACAAACAGACACTCCAATTTTATTTATATGTATATATTACTTATATATATCTAAACATATTTGTTTTTAGGTTTTATTGTAGATTTAGCTTGGTGACCTCCCGCTATGTGTTGTTTATAATACCCCTGTAGAAATCCTAAGCTTGTGTGCTTAATATTAATTAACCTTACATATAGTTAAGTTACTAATAAAGTGCAATTTTTCCCAAGTGGAAGAGGAAACGCCTTTACACATCCTATGTGGTTGTAGCCCTCTCATGCGTAATGAAATGACTCCTTTGGAAAGTATACACTATATCCTGAGGAGATAAAAACCATCGCTCCTAAGAATATCCTTCAATCTTGTCTCTGTCGAACCTAGGCAACGAACTCTGACCACTCATGCATAAACGAAATGTCATTTGGAAAGTATAATCTTTCCTGAGGAGATAAAAACCATCGCTCCTAAGAATATCCTTCAATCTTGTCCCTGACGAGTGTAGGCAGCGAACTCTGACCAGTTATACATAAATGAAATGTCATTTGGAAAGTATAATCTTGCCTGAGGAGATAAAAACCATCCCTCCTAGTATCCTTTAATTCTTGTCCCTGACTGATCCAGGCAGGGAACTCTGAAAAAGGGCCTGCACAGATCTCTGCAGGTCGTTGGTATTCAGGTCTAAAAACCTAGTGGTAGCCCAAGCCACTCAAAAATTACAATTACTAAGAAAATTGCATACAACGGATAATTTATATACGTGAAACACCAGAACAATCTCTGTGCGATGATAAAATAAAAAGTCGAGATACATCTTCTGCAAAGATATGTGTATGGGTACTTCAGCCTCATCTATGATGATAAAATAAGAATTGAGGTATATGTTCTGCAAAGATTTCTGTTTGGTACTTCAGCCTCATCTATTTAAACTAAGAAGCAACTTGCTTCTTAAACTGCATTTTAATCATTGAAAGGTGACAATAAGGCAATGGAATTACAGGGTATTGGAGTTATATCATCTTAGGCCTCTCGAATGGCAATGCATTAGGTACTATTGACGCAGTAAAATAATAATAATGTTCATCTCAATTTGTCTAAAATAATAAAACTAGCTACGTACCTCGGCTTCATGGCTTGGCATGGGTGTACATGTATTATACATATAAACCTTCCTCTTAAATCACTCTGTCTATTGCTAATGACTGCATTAAAATCCGTTGCGTAGTTTAGTAGATATAAGCGAACAGAAAGCGGAAGCAACTTCATTTTATACTATGTAAAGATTCAAGACCAAACGGTCCACAACTCAAAGGAGGCTGTGAGTCCATGCCCTCTGCTATTCTGTAGCATGTAGCATTTTCCGGTTAAATAATATGTAATGCTGTTCATAAACAATGTGATATTTCGTCATCGCCTTTACTATTTGTCTTTTTTTTCTTTTTTCTCCTTTTTTTCGTTTTGGTGCCTTTGAAAACTAGTGGTATGTTTACATAGAACATACATAAGCTGAGTGGAGCTATTTGAGTATATGTTATTAAAATATGTTTATTTTATATCTATTTTATATTATATATATGTTAAACTGAGTTTAATTATATATACGACTTATTTTGATTTAACTTTCTTTTGTTTGTATTGATACTGAAAAGTTCTGAGTAATTTTTTTTTTATTTTTTTCAATTAATGCTACGTGTTTTATAATAACAATCACCCATCGAACATGTGCTAACTGTGTGAGGTGATAAGATAGTGATGATGGAATGGTGATCACAGGCCCAGGAGCGGCACGGGTCCGCAGAGGACCGCATCCAGCGGCTGGAGGCCAACGTGGAGGAGAAGAATGCGGAGCTGATGAGACTCAACCAGCGGCTGCGGATGAACGAGGAGCACAACACCAGGCTGTCGGCCACCGTCGACAAGCTGCTCTCGGAATCCAACGACAGGTAACAATTGGAATGTTGGCAAGTAGCATACGGCCCATCTGATGGTAAACGGTTACCGTAGCCTATGGACGCTTGAGACACCAGAGGTGGCACGTGTTAGCAATCTTGAGAAATCTAAATATACCCTAACCACATGCTGTAGTCTCGTGAGAAAACCTCGGTAAGTAGTTCATTCCACAATCTAAGTGTACGCAGGAGGAAACTACTCTGAAACTGCACTGTCCGAGATCACTTAGGTCTCAGCGTGTAGAGATGAAGTCCCTGTCGATGCGGAGCGGTGTGAAGGTAAAAGGTAGCCGTGACTCTTGTTGTATTTTATTATATTTGTACGGGTAAAAAAAAGAAAAGGATTTGATATACGGAGAAAAAATTATATTAGGATATACTACTGACATAACAGAGTAGAATGAAAGTAACAAACAAGAGTGTAATATAATAGGTACTATAAATTTAAATACAAATTTAGAATATAAAACACATTTGTTCATTAGCCATAGGTAGAGTGTACTTTATTTATAACATACCGTAAAGAAAAACATTCATTTATTCCTAATTTGAGAGCCACACTCTTGCCACGGTGGATCTCTATACGCTGGAGGATGATAAGATGCGAAATCACCAGGAACTGGAAATGGAGACAACGTGTAATGTATCCCATTAATAGCAATAACCTGTGTATATATAGCTTTATTATATTATGCTTTTCAGATTACAAGTGCACCTGAAAGAGCGTATGCACGCGCTCGATGAGAAGAACGCGCTAACGCAAGAGTTGGAGAAGACGAGGAAGTACGCCGACGAGCTCATGGTGGAGAAACAAGACATACTGAAGGAGCTCGCCAAATGGCGCATGGAAACCGAGCAGGTGCGTGTTGCCAAAAATGGAAGTTAATGTTTGACTTGACCGTGGACTAAAATGAGAATGTACGTTATGTCAGGTCAATTACAAATTCACCAAGAATTTATCACTACAGTTTCCAGGGGAAGCGCGTGGAGGTCAACCTGACATATGGTACATTGCTAACTACAGTCATCAGTCCACATCTAACAATCCCCATTTAAATCCCATAGGATTATTATTATTATTATGCGTGTGCAGTTTACGCTAGCATGGCACTAGTGGAAGATGATAAGACGAGCAAGAGGTCAGGTCAGTTAGCCCATCGTGATAAATTCACCAAGAATATATCATCATGGTTTATGCAAACCGCGTGAAGGTCAACCTGACATGGTACATTGCTAGCAATAGTCATCAATCCACATCACTAATAATCACTTTCCACCCAATTGTCCAGGGTTATTATTATTTCACAATATCAATCGGTTATTTTATAGTGATCACAAGGACGGGCTTTTATCACCATATTATTATTATTATTTACACTACATTTTATCAGCTTTGCTGGTTTTTTTTACCACACTTTCGGATCAAAACCATAATACATGGTTGTGGTATATGTGGTGTATGTGGTAAAAAAAATTATATATTATTATAATGTGTGTGCAGCTGAAGCGACAGATGCTGGAGCAGGAGATCGCGTTCAACATCCAGCAGACGGATGCGCTGACGAGGTCACTGTCTCCGGCCAACATGCAGCCGCCCCAGCAGAACACCTTCCAGCCCAAGGTGACCATCGACCGTCATTTACTATTACAACAATTTTTTTTATTTACCAGCAGACCCCAAAGTACTTACCACCTCCAAATTAAATATGTCAAAGGTTTTTTGAAGTTTAGTTACGCAATAAATTTCTGAACGCACCCTGTTTGACAGGTATCAGCCGTTTGTATGGAAAAAGATTAATTGTTGTTTTTACTATTTTACATACAATTTCTTCATATTTTATCATCGTTTAAACCTTCCCTAGACTACAACGAATATTTCAATACTAAAATTAGCCAAATCGGTTCAGCCGTTCTTGAGTTTTAGCGAGACTAATGAACAGCAATTCATTATTATATATATATATATATATACCTATAGGTATAACTTACATTTATTGCCGAGGCAGAGGTCAAAAATTGAGTGCATTAACTCAATTTTTGACCTCTGCCTCGGCAATAAATGAAAGAGAAGGGCTAAAGATCGTGCCCAGTGGCGTGACGTGATAAAGAAAACCAAGGAATTGTAGGAGATATATATATCTATATATATATTGTATATATAATAATATATTACAAAGAAACACTACTAACTAGGACCAGTAAGGGAAACCAAAAGGAACAATAGAGTCATAATTATCTGCTTCTTCCTTACCCCATATATTTGTGGTCGGTGTGATATGTTTTTCTCTTCCATTCATCCCTGTTCGCAGTCATCTCGTTATTTACTTCCTTTCTTGTGCTATCATCTTTCACACAGTCCATCCATCTCTTTTTCAGCCTTCCTCTACCCTTATAACCATCCACATTCATATGTAACACCTTCCTTAAGATATGGTCTTCATTTCTAAAGGAAACCTAAAGGAACAATAGAATGTAGTGACAATTTAGAATCAAATTTGATATTTGAAATAAAAGCTTATAAATTAGATCGTAGACTAAATAAGTGGCCTGTATTCCACAGCCTATGTCCAGTATTGGATTGCAGTGGATTGGTGATGATGATGATGATGATGATGATAATGCAATATATGTTGCAGTTGGATGGGTCGTGGGAGAAACTTCAGCAGGCGCACGTGTTGGCAAACGTACAAACGCCGTTCGATGTGTCCAGCGACGCAGAGGTATGCTACATGTCATATATCATACACTCATCTGTATTAGCTACCTTCAGACAACGTCGAGTGTAAATTATATATAAACATTTGACTGATTATGGATATTTATTCTTATTATGTCATAACTTTGGTAGTTTTTTTATGACATGGTACAACAGGGGACAAACGAGCACATGGCTCACCTGATGGTAAGTGATTACCGCCGCCCATGAGCACCCGCAACACCAGGGGAATTGCAAGTGCGTTGTCGGCCTTTTAAAAGGAATAAGCTTTTCTTGAAGGTTTCAATACAGTATCGGTTCGGAAATACCATTGCGGGAACTTGATTCCACAATAGGTTGTGCGTGGCAAAAAGTTTCTAGAAAACCGCACTGTGGAGGATCGCCATTCATCCAGATGATCAGGATGGTATTTAAGCTTCTGGCCGGTGGTGAAACTCAGCTGGTATTAATCCGAACAATTCCTCAGAATTCAATTGTCGCCACTCAAAAATTTCACTCTAAATCAAAAACCCACATTTGACAATTAACTTTGCAGAACGATGAATCTGAAGGCGGCGTGGAAGGAGGGCATACAGACGCCGCAGCGCTGGCGCTGATGCTGCAAGAACAGCTGGACGCCATCAATACAGAGATCAGGCTCATACAGGAAGAGAAACAGAGCACGGAAGCGAGGGCCGAAGAGCTGGAGTCCAGGGTATGTACTGGAGGAATCATTTGACTTACTTGTAACTGCTCAGTGGAATTGTTTATCTTATATATATATTATTTTATAACACCTGCACACAGTTCCAACAGTAATGTTTTTAAACAATAAACACTTTATTACCTATGGTTAACATTATTTTGTTTACTTCCGCTGCCATTAGCATGTGTGAGACTACAAATATTCAGTGCGGAAACCTGACCACCTCTACTGGAAGCGTTACGACCTTCTCCATTGGTGATCAATTTCCGACTGTTATTAGATCTACACTCATATTGCGACACGTGTTTCGCCTCTGAACGAGGCAACATTAGCCATATAGAGTTCGTATGTAGCTTGGAAGCCTAGCGTTGGCTATTCGGTACCAGTACTACTCTAAATATGATGCCAGTCGGAATTTGATAACTAGTGGAGAATGTCGTAAGACTTCCAGTTTAATGACTAGTGGAGAAGGTCGTAAGACTTCCAGTTTAATGACTAATGAAGAAGGTCGTAAGACTTCCAGTAGCGGTGGTCAGGTTTCCGCACAAAATATTTGTGGTCTCAAACATGCTAATGGCAGCGGAATTAAACAAAATAATGTAAATCTATTAAATGAAATGTACATCCGCAAAGTAATACCTAATTTTATAATATATTTAACGAACACTGTGTAGCTGTGTGCATCTATTTTATATACAGGGTTGAATTGTAAAAGATATAACAAAACCGAAAGCCAATGATAGTATTTTATAAATTCCAAGCAGCTGGAAAACAAATGTATTTGATAAATTTGCTTAGTTAAGGGATCAATTTAGTAATAAATAGATAGATAAAACATTTATTCCCAATATTAAGTTAAGTTCGATGCTAGAACGAATGTATCTCAAGTCGTAACGGAAATCATCAGTTACCAAAAGAATATAGTTAGTGTTTTGTAGATTAAATATGAAATCAATATTTCAATTAAAACTGTCCAACTAATAGTAGTTGGACAGTTTTAATTGAAACGTCACAGGTTGCATATAACATGAATAGAATTGAAATAGAAATAATCTTTATTCAAATAAACTTAATGTAAGCACTTTTGAATAGTCAAGTTATTTTTATTCTACCGCTTATTCGGAATGCAGACTCATCACAAGAAGAATAAGCAAGAAACTTGTGTGTTGCTCTTTTTGCTGCTTCTTGGATTAGGCATGCGACAATCGACATAGAAACCGCTATGCACTTAATCTCTGCTCAATCAGATAACATTATCAGCGCTTAAAATTAATATATTTTTTACATCCTTTTACTTACGTCTTTGGATATTCCTATGACATCTTATTTACTTTCACTGTGCCTATTTTTGTAGAAATTATATTTACAAATCTGAATTTGACATTTAGGCGCACAATAAATAGGTGTTAAATAAAGATAGATCAATAGAGGTATGAAGGAGTCCAGAATATCACAATTTCAATATAGATTGAAATTGTGATGTTCTGGACTCGTTCATACCTCGGCGCGTGTAAGCTAAGCAGTGTTTAATAATAATAATAATAAAACTCTTTATTATGCATAAAAGAAACATATAATTACAAAAGAGAAATAAAAAAAGAAAGACGCAAACAAAAGGCGGCCTAATAGCTGAAAGCAATCTCTTACAGAACAACTGAAATTTAAATATAAAATTTCATTTCGTCCTAACAAACTGACAGACTAAAATATGGAAAGTCATCTACGAAATTGCTACAGTCTACAAACAGAGTTCATGTGTTTATTGTTAATTTATTACACGTAAATTTATTGTATACTAGCTTTTACCCGCGGCTTCGCTCGCATAACTTATTACTGGCCGCTAGATGGCGCTGAAGTAGCAAAATGATGATTTTTTTTTTGTTTATAAAATTATTTGTTTTTTTTTTAAATACAAAATTACCTCCAAGAACATGTGTAGATAATTTCATGTTGATCAGTTCGGTAGTTTTTGCGTGAAAGCGTAACAAACATCCTTAATTTCACATTTATAAGGATTCATTGATTCATTCATTTCTTGATATATGATAGCGTAGCGGCTTTTGTATTGATTGCCGCATGCATCCTCATGTAAAGTGCGAATACTGTAACTACCATATAGTAATTTTTGTAGCTGTGACGTGGTCGAGTGGAATGAGTAGTCATGCTCACTAAAATGTCCAGACATGTGGCGGCGTGGTGGGTCGGGTCATTGGGCTCCCTAAAATATGGTCGAGCGCAGTGATGGCTGGCTCATCCGTCATACTCGTGAACGAGTGCTGCTTGTAGGGACTGGTCTGCTCTTATCACTACGACTGATTTAATCTTATTGTGTTTTTATATTTGAGCCTAAATAAATTAGTGCTGGTTGGTAGTTTGTATTCACACGTTTCGACTTGTAAAATGTGAACTTACAAGGATTGTTTAAAAAAGCAACACACAAGTTTCTTGCTTATTCTTCTTGTGATGAGACAGCTTTCCGAATAAGCGGTAGATTTAAAAAAATGTTGACTATTCAAAAAATGTTTAAATTAAGTTTATTTGAATAAATGATTTTCTATTCTATTCTATAAATAAATAAATAGTAACAATAAGTAAATATTGACTCCTAAAAGACATACTGTCCTTGGCTTTCGAGTATACTTGTATATTAAAACCCTGACCATATCGTAGAGTCCACTTTAATGAATTTTGAAACTATTTTATATATAACTAACATTTTCTGATAGTGTAATAAGTTTTATATAGCATTAGTCTAAATTATATGTCCTGTCGCCGAGCTTCTTATTAGCTTAATCTAACTTATGTTAACTTAACATTCGATCAACAATATCAAATAGGTCATATGGTATTTGTATTGAATTTTGCTATTTAATAGCAATGTAATACTGAAGATGGCGCTCTATTGGTGGAATGTGGGAAGCGCATTTACATTTTCAATCATGATATTTTTTGTATTGATTTTTAACCCAGAATTTGTATTTGTAATAAGTAATCTAAAGAATAATGATTAAATAATAGACAACATAATTTGAATCTTAATTACATAATAATAAAACTCAGATTTGTTTGTATCGATATATTTTTCTATTCATCGTATCATTTTAATACTCAGATCGGACTTTTTTTAATGGAATGGAATGGTACACCCACATGCGCTAATGGTTTACTCTAGAATTCCAGATACATTATTTAATCGAAATAAATTGAATGCTTAAATTTAACTTTTTTAATGGATGAAAATGGAATTGTACACCCGCCAGCGCTAACGGTTTACTCTAGGTACATTATTTAATTTAAATAATTTGAATGCGTCGATCTAATTTGTTTAATGGTTGATAATGGAGTGGTACACCCATATGCGCTAACGGTTTACTCTAGATACATTATTTAACCGAAATAATTTGAATGCTTAAATTTAACTTTTTTAATGGATGAAGATGGAATGGTACACCCGCCAGCGCTAACGGTTTACTCTAGATACGTTATAATAATAAAATGGTTCTAGATTTTTTTCAACTCATATTTTTCTACTCACCGTATCAATTTAATACTCAGATTGAAGTCGGACTTTTTTTACTAGATGATAATAGAGAGGAGGGGGGGGGGGGATACCCACATGCGCTAACGGTTTCCTCTAGATACATTATTGAATTGAAATAATTTGAATGCTTCAATCTAAATTTTTTAATGGATGAAAATGGAATTGTACACCCGCCAGCGCTAACGGTTTACGCTGGATACGTTATAATAATAGAATGGTACACCCACATGCGCTAACGGTTTACGCTGGATAAGTTACTTGATTGAAATGATTGCTTCGACCGGTTGAATCTATTGGTATTGTCGATCGATGCCGTCAGCTTCCGGTGACGGTACAGCATATATATGTACTAACAACGAGGGCGTGGGTGCGTCCCCGGTGGCGGGCCAGGTGGGCAGCTACGAGCACATGAACGTGGTATCGCGGCGCGGGGAGTCCCCGCCGCTGGCCGCGTCGCCGTCCCGGCCGCTGCCGCTGCACCACCACCACCAGCACCCGCACCTCGCGCCGCACCACAAGTACCACACGGTCAGTACAGTATACCTACAGGAGATACCCTCGGTACGGACGGTACCCTCATACCGACTCTATAATATATTTTGTTTAAGTTTTAACTAGTTATGTTATTTTAGTTTTTAGTTCTCGTCCGGTAAAGCCGTAAAGGCCGGCTACGAACGACAGTATTAGAATAGGACGACAAATAAATTTGGTTATTGAACCATTTCGTCCTTTTCTCTCAAACGATTTTCTTCAATTGTAAGAAAGTGACAGAATACTTAGTCTTGATAGTTGAAATGGATATATTGGATGTACTAGTGATTATGAATGAGAGGATCGTCCTTTTCTCTCAAACGATTTTCTTCATTTGTAAGAAAGTGACAGAATACTCTTAACAGTAGGGTTTTCTAGAAACTTTTTGCCTCGCACAACCACATTGTGGAATCACCTTCCAGCAATGGTATTTCCGAACCGATACGATATTGAAACCTTCAAGAAAAGAGCTTATTCCTTTTTTAAAAGACCGACAACGTACTTGCAATTCCCCTGGTGTTGCGGGTGCTCATGGGCGGCGGTAATCACTTACCATCAGGTGAGCCGCATGCTCGTTTGTCCGCTGTGTTATAAAAAAAAAATTGAAATTGTTATATTAGATGTTTTACTGTTTATGAATGAGGGGGAAATGTACAAAATAGGATATTTCGTTATAAACTGTTAAATAATTAATGTAATAATTGTAAGTAATAGAATAGACTTAATTAAGAAAGAGATTTTTATTTGAAATTGTTTTATATAATATATAATATACATATAATTATTATTTCTACTAAAAACGTCAAGATTAATGTTTAAGAATAATAGATTTGTATTACTATAGTGAAGAGATGCAGTAGGATATAATTTATATATCTTATGCTACGTTTACATTCAGCCGCTTCCCCTGCCACTCGCGCTGCCGGAAATATTGCTGGGCGACAACTGAGCGAGAGGGCGGAATGTAAAAACACGCTGCCACTCGCGCTGCCAGTCCTTTGACTCGCGCACGAAAAACCGACAATCGAGGGAGCGCCGGGCAGCGCGAGTGGCAGCGCCAATGGCATGGAAAGTGTTTCCACTCGTGTTTACACTCTCGCGCTGCTCACTTCCCTGCCCACTCGGGCTGAGTGTAAATTGGGCATTAAAAATATTATGAACGGTACGATTAAGTTTAGTAATCGTAACATATTGCTAAAGTAATGATTATATAATTATTATAGAGCAACGAAATCGTAGAATTGATTGCAGACACAACGATTTTTCTATTTCTCTTTCCAGTCCAATAAAAAATAAGTATAATGAAATTTTCCTAATTCTGTATATTTAAAATAAAATACGTAACATATTGCTAAAGTAATGATCATATAATTATTATAGAGCAACGAAATCGTAGAATTGATTGCAGACACAACGATTTTTCTATTTCTCTTTCCAGTCCAATAAAAAATAAGTATAATGAAATTTTCCTAATTCTGTATATTTAAAATAAAATACGTAACATATTGCTAAAGTAATGATCATATAATTATTATAGAGCAACGAAATCGTAGAATTGATTGCAGACACAACGATTATTCTATTTCTCTTTCCAGTCAAATAAAAAATAAGTATAATGAAATTTTCCTAATTCTGTATATTTAAAATATAATAGTACTTTTTGATTTTGTATTTTTATTGCACCAATATTCAAATTCAATTTCAAAAATCATTTATTCAGTTTTCAATTTAGTAGGACATTTAAGCCGCTTATGAACGTAATTTTTTCCTACCATCCAGTTCAGTATATAGATCCAATTGAGAAGAACTGGCAAGAAATTCAATTAAATTACTTAAATTACCCACTCAAATACCGCCTATAAAAAAATATAGAGATCTCGGCATAAGTTCACGTTTACTTCTCTAAACTATTGTACGAGTATTACTGTATTAGGGGCCGGTCGAGTATTACGTAAGCACTATGGGGGGCGGGGGGGGGCCTTTGTTTTCCTTATTTTGGATGACATGGAAGGTGGGGGAGTCTAGATGATGATTACGTCATCGGCAGTCATTTACTTTTTTATACGAATGACAACCCTCACATTGTCTTTAACAACACATTAATTGAAAAATGTTTACGTAAGCATGGGGGGGTAAGAGCTTTGCTTACTTTTGCTGGCAAGGGGGATGGGGGGTAAATAATTGTAATAAATCTGCTTACGTAATACTTGAATGACTCCTTACCTGTGCAATAAAGAATGTATATATGTAAATCGTTACATGATCAATACTACGATTTCGTCCCGACTTTCAACAATGTTAGACTAACTCGGTTTTGTACGGCATTGGTGGAAGCAGGCGCCCGCGTCGATGTCGCCGGCACACTCGCACTACCGGACTCCGCCCGCGTCCGAGAGTCTGCCCGCCAGCCAGGTCCGTCTCTGTCCGGGTGTCCGGATGTCCGGCTGTCCGACCGCCCGGCTGTCCAATTGTTTCTCCCGCCAGCTTCTGGCTTATGCCGTACTAGCTCTGGCCGTCTGTCCGGGTGTCCGGATGTCCGGCCGTCCGATTGTCTGTGTCCCACCAGCTTCTGGCTTGTGCCGCGCTAGCTTGCCGTACGCCACGTATGCTTACACCGCAGCACGCTGTATTGTCAGTGCAAAGTTCGGCATACTAGTCACCCCCTTACTAGTAAGCGTGATAATAGACATGATGACATCTTGTGAAAACCAATTATATTCCCGCCCTATCTTTTTATAATAAAGTAAATTAAACTAAATTTTACTGTACGATCACGTGAGAATGACTAAGGTACTGTCTTTTTATAGTGTTGATGAATTTGTTACCAGCAAAAATTATATAATTTCAAACACAATATAAATTTTTACTGAATAAATAAATAAATATGCGGCAATTTTGGACGCTCAGTTGTTAGTGGACAGTATTTTGAGTGATTTTCTGATAATGGGAAAACTTGTATCGGGCTGTTGTTAAATTTTTGTTTTTGTAAGGCAATACGCCTTCACAAATAAAAAATCAGTTGGGTTTTGTGTATGGGGACTCTGCACCATCATTTATCGCAGTGAAATTTTGGGCATCTGAATTTGAATGTGGCCCAAGCTCGGGGCTCTTAGCTTGGGAGACGATGAACGTTCGGGCCATCCAACTGTATAAGTAGGTATATTAAATGATTCAAATCAAAAATAATTTATTTATACAGAACATTTTAGCCGCTTATGAACGTAAATTTTTTTTCTACCGTCCAGTTCAGTATACAGATTCAATTAAAAAGAACTGGCATAAAACTCTATTGTTTTTCTTTTATTTTTTTTTTTTTAATCCAGAAAGATATATCCGATATGTATAGATTTAGTTATTTTTAAACTTTCGTGTTTAATATACAGTATTTAAATTATTAACCGGGTCTTAACACGAATAATTTTATGGCAACTAAAGGTTTAGGTTTAGGAAATTTACCGTTTCGACTAGGTTGCACTAGCCGTGGTCAATAATTTAAATAATATATATAGATTTTATAACAATATTTCACTGGTCATTTATTATTGTCATCATGTCTGTTGTCCGATGTAATTTTTTTGTCCGTCTATATGTGACTTTTATATAAATATAATTCCAAATAGGATCGGATGTAAGTTTTTAAATAAACTGTAGTTGATATACGCTTGCGTGGCACAAAAACCTTGGCTGTATTTATATATTTGAAGCATTATATTCATATCTTAGTATAAATTTATATACATACATAGCCATAGCAATAATAAGTCAATATGTTTAGTAGTATTATATAAATAAATACATAATACCACAGTATAGTGGAAATTATGTTAAAGCATATATTATAACCTCAAAATGATTGTTGAAGAAAATATTTTGGTATCGATTCTGTGTTAAAATGCCTGCTTAGCAGACCTCAGCCTTGAATGTAATAAGCAACACCTATTGTATTGTATAATGTATTATATCACATTCTTAATAATAAACTAGCAACTTTATGGTTAATGCTATAAAGTCTACTTTCAATTTTTTTTTATTTTTACTTAAGGCAGTTTATTATTTTGAATGTAATGAAATGTACACCTATTTTATTTTAAAATGCATTATATCACATTCTTAATAATAAACTAGTATCTTTAAGGTTGTAACTTTGAAGTCTATTTTCCAAATTTTAGTTTTTTTTACTTAAGGCAGTTTATTATTTTGAATGTAGTAAAAAGTACACACAAAATGCATTATATCACATTCTAAATAATAAACTAGTCACTTTATGGTTAAAGCTATAAAATCTATTTTTCAAATTTATGTTTTTTTTACTTAAGGCAGTTTATTATTAAACTTGAGATATCTACAGTAAATAATATTAAATTAATAATAATAGTATTTGGTCAGTCACAGCAGCGCTTCGAGTATAGTAGGCTTCGCTTTTACATGTTTAAAGAATAATGTATTTAGTATTATTGATAGAGTTGTAATAAATTTGAAATTAGCTATAATTTTATAATAATTATTATTTATTCAGAATCATAATACAGAGTAAAAATATAGAAAACTTAAAATCCAATATGAGCTGAAAGGGCCTCCACTCAGCTGGTGTCGAGACGTCTCACTCATTTTATATTTATGACTAGCTGTTCCCGCGACTTCGTCCGCGTGGAATTTAAATTTATTTTTCAGAAATAAAAGTATTGTTCTAAGATAATAGTAGCCTAAGTTACTCCTTATTACATCACCTACCTGCCAAACAAATTCCCATCTTAATCGGTCCAGGCATTTCAGAGATTAACCGGAACAAACAGACAGACAGACAGTCAAAATTGTTAAAATAGCTATTTTGATGTATGTATATTTATATTCATATGCATGTAAAAAAACGGTTATTTCAATATTACAAAGAAACACTCCAATTTTAATTATATGTATAGACTAGTAATGCCCGTGATTTTGTACGAGTGTACCTTATTACATCGTCATCTGATGATGATGATCGAATGATAATGAAAAAAGCGTTTATAAAAATGTTTCCCAGCATTGTGGAGTTTCCCAAAAGTGGATTAGGAGTTGTATAAATATAGGATGAATCACTAGCACTGCGTTAGTCCAAAAAAAATTTTTTTTTTAGAAATGTTTTTAACTTTTTAAAATTATACTTTAGAATCAAGATGGTGTGTTGTACGAATGTATTAATATTAGTATTTGTTTGTTGTTATTCTTCCCTTAGTTATTTTATTTATTAACAAGTTGAATAACATAGTCATTGTTATACTAATTTGTAACAGTAAGAGGATACAGTAGTTCTAACATAGTGTAGTTACTAATCAGGGTTTCGCATTAATATAATATTATTTAGAATACTAGAAGAATAATATTAATACTTTTAAAAAAAATTACCACAATTTTATTAATTTTCGAACGTGCACACTTGTCGTGCTCTGTTAAAATGTTTCTAGTTTCTATGTCTTGAACAGACATAAAAACTAAACAGTGCAGACAATGTAATACATATAACTTAGGTAATGAATTTTACTTTGTTCTCGAAATCTTACGTTATTCATAAAAAGTAAAATAAAGTAATTTTACTTTATTCTCAAAATCTTACGTTATTCATAAAAAAAAACTATTTTGGCATATTAATGTATTATGTAAATTACTGTATAAGTAATATGTGGCTGATGATGGCAAAATTTTTAATTTACCATGAAACTATCTTAATATCAAATCTCTTTAACGTAGGATTTTTATTATATCTCTTTTCTATTTATTCACAGTTTTAAAGTACAATGGGATCAGCATGTACATTATGTACTTTTAGATTGTACAAAAGGCTGAATATTAAAAGAAATAAAATAAAAAAAATATCTCTTTAACTTATCTAGAACGTAGTTAACGTTGCTACCTAGTTAAAAGTTGAGTTGATTTTTATGAGTAAGCGGTTGAGTGTTAGAGTTTTTTTTCTATTTATTATTAATTGACATTTACAACACTTTTTTAAAATTAATTAATTAATTAAATTTTTGTCAATTAAGATTTCATTCGTCTAGGTGTGAATAGTCAATCTAAATTTGACTATTCACACCTAGACGAATGAAATCTTAATTGACACAAAAGTTAGCGTAGTGAACAATGAAATTAGAGACTTTAGAGCTTACTCTTTTAGAAGTTGATAATAAATATGGCTAGTTTGGCGCCGCAGTGAGAAAGTTGTAAATATCGGTCTATGTGTTGTGCAGTTGCAGCTGTGCGAGGAGGGCGTGGGGGGCATGGTGGGTGCGGGCGCGGGTGGTGCGGGTGCGGGTGCGGGGGGCGCGGAGGGGGCGGAGTCCCCGCTGACGGCGCGGTCGCTGCGGCTGGAGCGAGCCGCGCGCGCGCTGCACGCCGAGCGAGACAGGCTGCGCGCGCACTACCAGCCGCCCTACGACACGTCAGTACCGCTGCACTTGTACATTTGGTCCTACAACAGACAGGACACAGATTGCCTACACACATGTACCCCCCTCCGATTGATCCCCCGTCTAATTCCAACGGGGATCAAAATTACGACGGCCTGAGCCGAGGTTCGAACCCTAACGACACTCTCAGACTAAAGTCTTATCCGTCAGACGGAAGAAGAAGGAAGGCCTTCAGCCGCAGCATAAGTCCTTACTTGGTTTGGAGTGCCATCTGCAGTCGCCCCCTATCTTCCGGTGAAGCTGTAAAGATCAGCTGCAGCCAACAGCATTAGAGTAGTCCGAAAAAAACATACTTATACTTTTGGTCCTACAAGAGCCGGACATAGCGTGCATCTTACACATTCATGTATAGAGACTAAGTACACATAAGATAGACATAAGCATAAGTAATAAGGCATACTGCAAGGTCGATTTATTTTAATTATGAAGTTTAAACGAGTTTAACTCAATCTTCAAATTAAGTGATGATGCGTTCTAAGCTTGTTACACGCAAGTTCAAATAATGCATATTTACTCTAAACTTAAGAAAAAGAAACTATTGAAATAAGTAATAAAATACTGACGCTGGATGATTCCGATTCTATACCGCTCGTAAAACATATACGAAATTCTTTCAGTTGAAAAAATATGTGTACACAAAATATGTTAACATTTTAATTTTAAAACATGTGTGTAATTGTAATAAAATAAGAACTATATTAATTTGAAAATTTGTATCCCTTACACGCTGCACTGGACCCCAGGACGTCGATAATGTCAGGAAGTCTCGCCCGGTTCCCGATACACAGGTGCTTACCCAACATAACAGTAAGGAGACCAGTGTCGCTGCCAGACCTCAACCTGGCGCCACTCTGGTGCGACTGTCCCGACACACTGTTTAACTACGCACCGCACAGACTCTGTCTCAAATCCAATCTCTACAAGAGTTTGGACAATTATCTCTTACACCATCCATGTTTGGTTAAATCTGCCAGTTATATTTGAAAGAGGGGTTTCATTCGCTTCTTCCTTATCTCAATTATTTGTGGAATATTACGAGCACTTTTTTCATTCATTCATTCATTCATTCATTCATCTCTGTTGACAGTCATCTCGTTATTTATATTATTTATTTCTAATTACAATGAAGAAATTAGATTGATTCTTCTTTTGAGTCTTCATATTGTTGGAAAGTATTGGGACATACTTTCCAAAAACAATTGTATAACTACAAGTAAATTAAAAACAAATTAATTTAATTAAAATCTACATCTCATTATCTGCTTCTTCGTTATCATTTGTGGTCGGCGTAATATGTTTTTCTCTTCCATTCATCCCTGTTCGCAGTCATCTCGTTATTTACTTCCTTTCTTACCATATCATCTTTCACACAGTCCATCCATCTGTTTTTCGGACTTCCTCCGCCCTTATAACCATCCACATTCATATGTAACATAAAACGTCTGCTATATATCGTAAACCGTATTAAAAAAGGGTAGATTTTATATATCAATCGATTTAAAAAATTAGGGAATAAGATTCTCCGTTATTTTTTTTAATGTGTTACCTCAGAACTTCTTTCTACGTGAACACATTTATAATATAAACTAGCTTTTGTCCGCGGATCCGCTCGTGCTAATTTATCCCCTTAGGGATGGAATTTATTAAAATCCTTTCTTAGGGGATGCCTACGTCATAGTAGCTTTATGCATGCAAAGTCTCAGCCCGATCGGTTTAAAATTAACAAAGTTTCATGCAAACTTTCATCCCCTATTTTATCCCTTGGGGGTAGAATTAATCAAAATTCTTAGCGGATGCTACGTCATAACATCTGCCTGCATGCCAAATTCCAGCCCGATCCGTCCAGTGGTTTGGGCTGTGCGTTGATAGATCACTATGTCAGTTACCTTTGAGTTATATATATTTAGAAGATTAATAATTAAATGATACTTTAATATTAATTATAATTAATAATATGCCGTCACGAATTTTGACACACTTTATCGACCCCCTTCTCCTAAAAAGTGTGACACTTATCATAAAATCCCTAAATTTTCTACCATTTTCCCTCTGCTTTCTTTAAATTCTCAATGTTTTTACAGTTTTGTTAAATAAAATGGAATTACTAAGGATGTGACTAATATATTATTTGTCCCTTATTTGTTTATGATGTTTATAATGGTATGTTGAGTTTAATTTAATATTGTGTGACCCTATTCCAAGTAGTGTACAAAGTAGTTCCGGTGGATAACTGATAGTCGGCTAAGCCCATAGTAATTCCATTATTTTAGGCCAGTTTTACACTTGTTGACTTAAGTATATAAACATGTAAAAAGGTAGCGTTATATCAGGGCCGGATCTACGGACTTTATGGGCTGCAGCCGTGGTTATAAAGGGCCCCTACCTCAACTGTAAACAATAGGCGATATTTAGATTAAAAATTCTATAATATTAAATAGAAATAGAAATAATCTTTATTCAAATAAACTCATTATTTACGCGGACGAAGTCGCTGGTACAGCTAGTATCATTATAAATAAACAAAAATTTTTTTTTTATGTAAAGCCAAACAAGCTACACGGCTCCTAAGGTGATTAGGTCACAGTGGCATGAATCAAGGAAACTTCTGATGGTTTGATTCCCCATACTTGTATTCATGGGTATGATTATTTGTCTGTTTCTGTCTGGATGTTTTCTATATGTATTCTGTATAGTAATAGAAATAGAAATAATCTTTATTCAAATAAACTCATTACAAGCACTTTTGAATAGTCATATTTTGATTCTACCACTCATTCGGAATGCATTTATCACAAGAAGAATGAGCAAGGAACTTGTGTGTTGCTCTTTTTAATAGATGTTTTTTTTATATAAATAATTACAGTATAATAAGAGGCATGCGATAATCAACATAGAAGTCGCTACGCACTCATTATTAATGTAATCAGATAATATTGTCAGAATTGCTATGGATTTAAAGTTTTTCTATAAAACATTATTATCGTTAACGAATTCTTCAATTTTTAATTAAAAAACTTATCATAAGATTGACAACCCTGAGGTTAATCAACCCATGAATGTGTGCATCTGGCAATTCCCTGTCGCTTGGTTTTGATCGGTGTATTTTTTAGTTGAGTAAACAATTAGGTAAGACCCTAAGTAGCCCTAGCCTAGGGCCCCACAAATTCACGATCCGCCCCTGCGTGACGTATATTTAATAAAACTGTAATAAGATTTATTTGTGAGTATTGCTTAATATTTGCTTGAATAAAACTTATTTATTTTATGTAAAAATGGCCTTAATTATGTAACTATTGTTATACTATAGTATACTAATATATATATCGTCGGTTAAATAGAAAAATGGCAGTATTCAAAATATACATTTTTTACAAGACGAGCATTTAAAGTTTTATCAATATCCTTTCTTAGGGGATGCCTACGTCATAGTAGCTTTATGCATGCAAAGTCACAGCCCGATTGGTTTAAAATTGACAAAGTTTCATACAAACTTTCATCCCCAATTTTATCCCCTTGGGGATAGAAATAATCAAAATTCTTAGCGGATACCTACGTCATAACATCTACCTGCATGCCAAATTTCAGACCGAATCGTCCAGTGGTTTGGGCTGTGCATTGATAGATCACCATGTCAGTCAGTCACCTTTGAGTTATATATATTTAGATTTTAAAAGTATTTAGATAATGATTAAGACGGCGTGGTTAATTTAATTGACTTATATAAAAGGAGGCAATTCTAGATTCTAATTTAGAAAAATGACTTTTTTCTATTTAATCAACGATATATGTAAAGTATATACATTAATATATTTATGAAGCTAGGTTTCTTAGTAATTGTAGTTCTCTTAGAGTTTTTAAAGCTACAGAGTTCAATAGTTGATGAGAAAGTTAATGTTTAATAATACCTTTTAAAAATATATAAATTCAGTAGTTAGCAAGTTGGCTAGCCACGGTCGGTCTTATCGCTATAAGAAATCTCTTTTAGACAACCTGGAGTAATCTGTAATATAGGTAATGTTTTTAGAAATAAAGTGCTGACTAATTTTGCATATTTCTTGCGCGTTGCGATGTATTTTGAATGTAGTATATATTTGCAGCTCGAGTCAAGAGTCTCTGGGCACTGTGGGGGGCGGGTACGGGGGCGCGTCCCCCGGGCTGCCCCGGGGGGTGGCCGCCGCAGCCTCCGCCGTCTCCATCGCGTCCATGCACCAGCAGAAGAAACGCGGCATCAAGAGCTCCCTCGGCAGGTTCTTCAGCAAGAAGGAGAAGGCTGGCATGCCGGTACATTACATTATGTACACATAGTACAAAACAAAGTCGTCGCCGCTGTCTGTTCGTTTATATCTTTTAAACTACGCAACAGATTTTAAGTGACGACCTCGGTGGTCTAGCCGTCTAGCCGCTTTACGTCCGATGGTCGCGGGTTTGATTTCTTGCACGGCACAAACATTTGTATTCATGAGTATGATTGCTTTTATCGGTCTGGATGTTTTCTATGTATAACTGCTACTCACCCCGACTTCACACTCTGTCTAGTGAAAAAACCGCTTTAAAATCCGTTGCGTAGTTTTAAAGATTTAAGCATACATAGGGATGGACAGATAGCGACAGCGACTTTGTTTTATACTATGTGGAGGGGTGCTAAACTTGTCATTGCGGAAGAAAATCACCAAACAATGACAATTATTGCGGATTTCTACATGTGTTTAAAATTACAGCTTTTTGGAGAAGTATGAAAGCAAGTGTGTGAAGCTATAATATTTTGGGGCTAGTGTAATGTTATTATTATTATTATTATTAAGTCAGGTCAACCTCACTCGGTACATTGCAATGGGTAACTCTATTGCAATGTACTAAGTCAGGCTGACCATATTACTATTACATATATATTAATCTATATTACTAACAATCGTGCTTCACTCGAGTTCGTAATAGTCCATTACGGAGCTTGAGGGTAGAAATAGGTAGACAAGGATATCTCCAACGTGGGGATAACGATAACGCAGACGTCCCCTCAGGATCGCGGTTTATTAGAAAGCGAGCTGCATGACAATAGAAATAGTCAAAGGTCTGACGCAGACGGGTTTTTTAATGTACCTCGGAAATAAGTAACCGGGTGTGCGTGCAGGGTCAGATGGCGAGCGTGGGCGGCGCCCGGTCGCTGTCGTCGGCGTCGTCGCTGGGGCTGGCCGCGCTCGCAGACGACGCGCCCGACCTGCACGCGCCGCACCACCACCACCAGGACTACGCGCGCTCCAAGACCAAGTCAGTGTCCGCGCACTACACTCTACACTACTCCACGCTGCACCCTACTCTCCGCGTTATACGCTACTCCCCGCTGATCCATACTCTCTGCGTTACACACTACTCATCCCCGCACCATACTCCTCTCGTTGTACACTACTCCCGCCGCACCATACATTCCTCGTTGCACACTAATCTCTGTCGCACCATACACTCCTCGTTGCACACTACTCCCCGCCGCACCATACACTCCTCGTTGCACACTACTCTCCGTCACACCATACACTCCTCGTTGCACACTACTCCCCGCTGTTCCATACACTCCTCGTTGCTCACTACTCCCCACCGCACCATACACTCCTCGTTGCACACTACTCCCCGCCGCACCATACACTCCTCGTTGCACACTACTCTCCGTCACACCATACACTCCTCGTTGCACACTACTCCCCGCCGCACCATACACTCCTCGTTGCACACTACTCTCCGTCACACCATACACTCCTCGTTGCACACTACTCCCCGCTGTTCCATACACTCCTCGTTGCACACTACTCCCCACCGCACCATACACTCCTCGTTGCACACTACTCTCCGTCACACCATACACTCCTCGTTGCACACTACTCTCCGTCACACCATACACTCCTCGTTGCACACTACTCCCCGCCGCACCATACACTCCTCGTTGCACACTACTCCCCGCCGCACCATACACTCCTCGTTGCACACTACTCCCCGCCGCACCATACACTCCTCGTTGCACACTACTCTCCGTCACAACATACACTCCTCGTTGCACACTACTCCCCGCCGCACCATACACTCCTCGTTGCACACTACTCCCCGCCGCACCATACACTCCTCGTTGCACACTCCCCGCTGTTCCATACACTCCTCGTTGCACACTACTCCCCGCCGCACCATACACTCCTCGTTGCACACTACTCCCCGCTGTTCCATACACTCCTCGTTGCACACTACTCCCCACCGCACCATACACTCCTCGTTGCACACTACTCTCCGTCACACCATACACTCCTCGTTGCACACTACTCTCCGTCACACCATACACTCCTCGTTGCACACTACTCCCCGCTGTTCCATACACTCCTCGTTGCACACTACTCCCCACCGCACCATACACTCCTCGTTGCACACTACTCTCCGTCACACCATACACTCCTCGTTGCACACTACTCCCCGCCGCACCATACACTCCTCGTTGCACACTACTCCCCGCTGTTCCATACACTCCTCGTTGCACACTACTCTCCGTCACACCATACACTCCTCGTTGCACACTACTCCCCGCCGCACCATACACTCCTCGTTGCACACTACTCCCCGCCGCACCATACACTCCTCGTTGCACACTACTCCCCGCCGCACCATACACTCCTCGTTGCACACTACTCCCCGCCGCACCATACACTCCTCGTTGCACACTACTCCCCGCCGCACCATACACTCCTCGTTGCACACTACTCTCCGTCACACCATACACTCCTCGTTGCACACTACTCCCCGCCGCACCATACACTCCTCGTTGCACACTACTCCCCGCCGCACCATACACTCCTTGTTGCACACTACTCCCCGCTGTTCCATACACTCCTCGTTGCACACTACTCCCCGCCGCACCATACACTCCTCGTTGCACACTACTCCCCGCCGCACCATACACTCCTCGTTGCACACTACTCCCCGCCGCACCATACACTCCTCGTTGCACACTACTCCCCGCCGCACCATACACTCCTCGTTGCACACTACTCCCCGCTGTTCCATACACTCCTCGTTGCACACTACTCCCCGCCGCACCATACACTCCTCGTTGCACACTACTCCCCGCTGTTCCATACACTCCTCGTTGCACACTACTCCCCACCGCACCATACACTCCTCGTTGCACACTACTCCCCACCGCACCATACACTCCTCGTTGCACACTACTCTCCGTCACACCATACACTCCTCGTTGCACACTACTCTCCGTCACACCATACACTCCTCGTTGCACACTACTCCCCGCCGCACCATACACTCCTCGTTGCACACTACTCCCCGCTGTTCCATACACTCCTCGTTGCACACAACTCCCCGCCGCACCATACTCTCCTCGTTGCACACTACTCTCCGTCACACCATACACTCCTCGTTGCACACTACTCCCCGTCGCACCATACACTCCTCGTTGCACACTACTCCCCGCTGTTCCATACACTCCTCGTTGCACACTACTCCCCGCCGCACCATACACTCCTCGTTGTACACTACTCCCCGCTGTTCCATACACTCCTCGTTGCACACTACTCCCCACCGCACCATACACTCCTCGTTGCACACTACTCTCCGTCACACCATACACTCCTCGTTGCACACTACTCTCCGTCACACCATACACTCCTCGTTGCACACTACTCCCCGCCGCACCATACACTCCTCGTTGCACACTACTCCCCGCTGTTCCATACACTCCTCGTTGCACACTTCTCCCCGCCGCACCATACACTCCTCGTTGCACACTACTCCCCGCTGTTCCATACACTCCTCGTTGCACACTACTCCCCACCGCACCATACACTCCTCGTTGCACACTACTCCCCGTCGCACCATACACTCCTCGTTGCACACTACTCCCCGCCGCACCATACACTCCTCGTTGCACACTACTCCCCGCTGTTCCATACACTCCTCGTTGCACACTACTCCCCGCTGTTCCATACACTCCTCGTTGCACACTACTCCCCGCTGTTCCATACACTCCTCGTTGCACACTACTCCCCGCCGCACCATACACTCCTCGTTGCACACTACTCCCCGCCGTTCCATACACTTCTCGTTGCACATTACTCCCCGTCACACCATATTCTCCTTGTTGTACACTACTCCCTACTGCAACATACTTTCCTCATCGTATGCTACTCCACACCATAGACTCCTCGTTATATACTACTCTTAGCCGCAGCACTAGCACCATACCACTACCGTGCATGTTGCACAGGGAGCACGACTACCGGCATGAGCTGCTATTTTCTTATATATTATGTACTGAGGATCGTTTGTATGCGTCAGGGTGTGTGCTATGTATCGAATGATCTTCTACACGTGCCCCATCCGCCGGCAGGGACCGCGACTACCGCCACGAGCTGCTGGGCGAGGCGATGCGGGCCGGCACGCCGTTCGCGTTGTGGAACGGGCCCACGGTGGTGGCGTGGCTGGAGCTGTGGGTGGGCATGCCGGCCTGGTACGTGGCCGCCTGCCGCGCCAACGTCAAGTCCGGCGCCATCATGTCCGCGCTCTCCGACCAGGAGATCCAGCGGGAGATCGGTGCGTACCCACACTGTACCCACACTACGACGGGCCCACGGTGGAGGCGCGGCTGGAGCTGACGTGACGTGGCCGGCTCTCCGACCAGGAACACTTACTAGCTGATCCGCTCGCGCTGTGGAACAAGCTACCAACTAAGTCTATTACTTTATTTAAAAAAACACTACAGATAAAAAAACGGTACACATCTCAGAAAACATTTCAGCTATTGCACTATTGTGTTCTTTTCTTACAGCTACTAGCGACACAAAGGTCTACTCAAAAGTACGTGATGTAATAAAAATGTATACGCATAACTGTTAATTGTTTCTGTTTAATTGTTTATCTTTTAATAGGACTCGTGTTTTTTGTATTTAGCCTCTCATTGAGGCAATTATTCGATTTTTTTAGTGTTATGTAAAAAAAGTCACTGTGGCTTAAATGAATTAACGACCGACCTAAGTGTTTTTTTATTGAGGGTTTTGGGCTGTTGCTAGATGTTTTATACCTGTAGCACTGCAACCTGCATATATCATTTGTTCTCGCCCTTTTTCAAGCTTTCTATGCCCGTTAGGGACAAGAATTTAAGGATATTCTTAGGAGCGATGCTTTTTATCTCCTCAGGATAGAGATATATCTGACATCTATTGTTCTCACCCTTTTTCAAAGTTCATTACCTACGCCCGTCAGAATCAACAATTGAAGGATATTCTTAGGAGCGATGCTTTTTATCTCCTCAGTATAGAGATGTGTCCCAGATCTATTGTTCCCATCCTTTTTTCAAAGTCCGCTACCTACGCCCGTTAGGGACAAGAATTGAAGGAGCGATGTTTTTATCTCCTCAGGATAGTGTACTTTCCAAAGGAGATATTACATCCACATGGGAGCTTCTTTTCAACTGTTTTTAATACTAGCTTATGCCCGCGGCTTCGCTCGCGTTAATTTATCCCCTTAGATGTGGAATTTATCAAAATCCTTTCTTAGGGGATGCCTACGTTACAGTAGCTTTATGCATGTAATGTCTCATCCCGATTGGTTTAAAATTGACAAAGTTTCATACAAACTTTCATCCCCTATTTTATCCCCTTGGGGGTAGAATTAATCAAAATTCTTTCTTAGCAGATGCTTACGTCATAACATCTACCTGCATACCAAATTTCAGCCCGATCCGTCCAGTGGTTTGGGCTGTGCGTTGATAGATCACAATGTCAGTCACCTTTAAGTTATATATATTTAGATGTACTCTCCAAAGGATATATTTGAACCACATGGGATTTTCTTTTCAACTGTCAATTTCTGTAACTAGGTATCAGTAACCCACTGCACCGGCTGAAGCTGCGGCTGGCCATCCAGGAGATGGTGTCTCTGACGTCTCCATCAGCTCCAAGAGGGACGGCGTGCGCCGCGCTCGCCTTCGGGGACATGAACCACGAGTGGATCGGAAACGTGTGGCTGCCCTCGCTAGGTAATATATGATCTTATTGATATTATAAACACGGTATTTATGGATAAATTGATAGATGTGTGTTTTTTACTCTTCCACGCCAAAATTATTGAATGTATTTTTATAAAACTTAACAATATAATTTATACATTTTTACAATTATACAATTTATAACTTTTTTAAATGTATAATTGTAAAAGTGTATTGTCAAATGTTTTTCATTACTTAATTATGTATTATTAACACTGTGTTAGTGTTATTATTTCTAGAATTTTTTTTTAGTTTTTTTTTATTTACTTATTTCAGAGAGATTATAAAATCGGCCCAGATTATAAATACCTTTTAATAGTTAATATGTTACATAGGTACACATGAAATAATATAAATATAAAATGTCTCTGTGGTAAAGAGACTGACGTCGACACTCTGCCACCACCTCCGTTATTTATATATAGTAAGATAGTCTAACGGTTTAGCACACCGTCTTACGTCCGATGGTCGCAGATGCGATTCCTCACACGGTACAAACATTTATATTCATGAGTATATTATTAATTTATATCAGTTGTCTAGTAGTCATAACTAGCTCTGCTTAGCTTAGGACTAGATGGCACTGTGTTAATTGTCCTGAAATATTATTATTATGTCCGCGGGTTCAATTCCTCGCGCGATACAAATAGTATGACTTAATAATCCTTAATGACCTTTTGTCTGCTTAGCTTAGGACTAGGTGTTCATTGTCCTGAAATATTATTACGTCCGCGGGTTCAAATCCTCGTGCGGTACAAACATTATTAACGACCATTTGTAGTAACATTGTGTTTGCGTCGTAGGACTGCCGCAGTACCGGACCACGTTCATGGAGTGCCTGGTGGACGCGCGCATGTTGGAACACCTCACCAAGCGAGATCTAAGAACGCAACTCAAGATGGTCGACAGTTTTCACAGGTCAGATATCTCTCTTTATACTTATTGCTAGCTGACCCGTGCAACTTCGTCTGCGTTTCATTACCCACTGAAGCGGAGGTTCTTAAGGTGTCTGATGAGTTAGAGGTGCTGAGGGTTTTATTAAGGAAAATACGGAGATTAAATAAAATGCGACTAATATGACAACGATATTGTTAGGAATATGCTCTAAATTTAATTAAATAAAAGAAACTTATAACAAATCGTATAATTAATTTTAACAAAATCAGTAAAAGAACTTATAAAGCAAACACGGTATGATACGGAGATTCGTTCGAGAGCACGTCTGTCGACCAAAAGAGGCCGCACACTTTTTTTTTTTTTTCGGACTACTCTAATGCTGTTGGCCGCAGCTGGCCTTTACAGCTTCACCGGACGTTATGGGGCGAGTGCAGATGGCACTCCAAACCCGCGGAAGGACTTATGGAGCGGCTGAAGGCCAACTCCTGCCCGACGGATACGACTTTAGTCTGAGGGCACCACTAGGGGTTCGAACCTCGGCTTAGGCCGTCGTAATTTCGATCCCCGTTTGAATTGGACGGGGGATCGATCGGAGGGGAGGCCTCACACCGGGTTTCGCAGCCTTTTATAGACGCGCCGCACGACGGTGGCGCCACCAGAGGAAGTTACACCTAACAATATATAATTCTTATTCTTTGTCGGTTCCTCAAGACTGAGGGTCGTGACCACCAGGAATGCTCCTTCCAACCAATACTCTCCAGGCATTTCTATTCTGTGCTAAATGGACCGCCGATTGTATATTTTGTTTGGCTGCTTCTCGTACAGGATCAGTCCAACGTGCAGGTGCCCTGCCTCTGCCCCTTCTACCGTCCACGTGGCCTAACATTATATTTTTTTCCAAATTATCTGGTTTTCGGCGGGCCACGTGGCCGAAAAAAGTTAGCAGACGCTGGAAGCACACAGTAGAGAGACGGGTTCTGATACCCAGTTGTTCCAAAACAGATGCATTAGTGCGGCGCTCCGTCCACGATATATAATATAAAGTAACAATAAAGAATATGTCAAAAAACATATGATTATATTAAAAATAATATAAAAAGTTATCAAGGAGTTCGCTACACCCACATTTTGCAATATTTTTTATTGCAGCTCCGCTCCTATTGGTCGTAGCGTAATGTTATATACCTTAAAGCCTTCCTCGACAAATGGACTATCCAACACAAAAAGATTTTTCAATTCGAACCAGTAGTTCCTAAGATTAGCGCGTTCAAACAAATAAACACTCTTCAGATTTGTAATATTAAAATATTCAATTCAAAATTCAAAAATCATTTATTCATGTAGGACGTTTTAGCCGCTTATGAACGTCAAATTTTTACATTATAATTTTAATTTTTTCCCTACCGTCCAGTTCAGTATATAGATCCAATTGAGAAGAACTGACAAGAAACTCAATTGATTTTTTTTTAAAGCCAGTCTATTTACAATGTATATTTATATAGGTGCCTATGTCTAACATTAAATGAAAATCCAGTGCATGAACAACTATTAGTAAAAATGTATATCCGCTCTTTATAGGTAGTAATGAAATCATTATCTTAGTTGTATTTATGGACGTTTAATTTAGAAATAATTACAAGTTTTATGCCTAAAACTATATGGTTGTTGTATTATCAAATGAACATGTTGTATATAATGAGTGAGACGGAAATACTCCCAGCGGGAAAGAAGAAGAGGGAGCAAAATGAAGTACGTTCCTGCCTCTAAGCCGAACCGTTCTGCAGCAGATTGGAAAAGAAGGATAGCGAAAGAACTCAGAAATTCTTTCCCCATCCATCCACTCTACTTCGATCCCTCTCCGCCCCCTCTTTTTGCAAGATAATTTCCTCGTAGAAGGAGCTCGCTCTGCTTTAACGATCTCTCTACTCATCATACTTAGAATTAAGAGCTTGTGTACCTAGTAGTTACCACTAGACTAACATCAATTTGCAGATTTTGCCAAGCAGAAGAGGGAACGCCACTACACATCCTATGTGGTTGTAGCCCACTCATGCATAATTGGAATATCTCCTTTGGAAAGTATACACTATATCCTGAGGAGATAAAAACCATCGCTCCTAAGAATATCCTTCAGTTCTTGTCCCTCACGGGTCTAAGTAGCGAACTTTAAATAAGGGCGAGCACAATAGATCTATACAGGTCGCAGTGCTACAGGTCCTAGGACCTGACGATAGCCCAAATCCCCTGTTACGTTGCCCTCAAGGTATCGTTAACTACGAGTATACTGTGATTTGCAGGACGTCGCTACACTTCGGCGTGGCGTGCCTGAAGCGCGTGGGATACAGCGTGCGTGCACTCGACGAGCGACGCCGCGCGGCAGAGCTAGCGTGCCGGGACGTGCTCGTGTGGACCAACGAGCGGCTGCAGCGCTGGCTCGTCTCTATCAACCTCAAGGTAAGCTCCGTGTCATGCACACGACACCGTCCTCACCTAGTGTGCCGCCACTTGCTTGGACTACCAGAGAAGCCACGAAAGTTCCTAATAAAAGTGTGGAAACTTTCTGGTGCATATAATGTATATGAAATAATAATTGGTGTGTTAATACGTTTGTTTGTCACATGCAGGAGTATGCCAATAACCTGGTGGAAAGTGGAGTCCACGGCGCACTGATAGCGCTCGACGACAGTTTCGATGCTAACAGTATGGCGCTTGCGCTGCAGATACCCACGCAAAATACACAGGTACCACAATTTTTTTAAATATATCGATTGAAAAAGCGGAATTGTCATGACTTCAAAAACCCAACTTCATATCAGAGTCAAAAAACTGTTTAAATAATTGAAATTGCCCCTAATGTGAGTTTGCATTGGTAAGAATCGGTTCTAATGAGAGTGTGTATTGTTAAGAATATGAATCACCCTTAATGTGAGCGTGAATTGATAAGACTCTCCCCTGATGTGAGTTTGCATTGGTGTGAATTGCCCCTAATGTCAGCGTGCATTGGTGTGAATCACCCTTAATGCACACTGCATTGGTAAGAATGACCCCTGATGTGAGTGTGTATTGCTATAAATGGCCTCTAATGTGAGTGTACATTGATAAGAATCGGTTCTAATGTGAGCGTGTATTGCTATGAATCGTACCTAATGTGAGTTTGCATTGGTGTGAATTGCTATGAATCACCCCTAATGTGAGTATGTATTCGTTTGAATCGCTCCTAATGTGAGCACTCATCACTCACTTATATATGTAAAAAACATCTATTCAAAAGAGCAACACACAAGTTTCTTCTTCATTCTTCTTCTCATGAATCTGCGTTCCGAATGAGCGGTAGAATAAAAAATAGAACTATTCAAAAGTGCTCGTATTGAGATTGAATATAGTTTATTTGTATTTGTGGTGTCCAGGCGCGGCAGATCCTGGAGGGCGAGTTCGAGATGCTGCTGAAGGCGGGCACGGAGCGCGCGACGCGGCTGCAGCACGAGCACGCGCCCGCCTCCTGACACCACGCCATCAACTAGGCCTCGCCACGCCCGCCACCACCGCCACCACCCCCGCCACCGCCGCCACCGCCGCCACGCTCGCCACACCCGCCGCGCTCGGCTCGATAGACGACGCTCCTTGACTGATTTGACACCGTATTCGTAGCTATTGCCCGGTATATTTTGTGTTATGTACTTACTACTTCTTGAACCACGTTTAAGTTTATATATATTTTGTATTATAAGTTTATTGTGCAGAAAAATTTCTGTTTAAAACCAAGTCTCGAAATCTGTTTAAAACAATAGTCTCACTTTAGTTCCTACACTAGACCGAGACTACTACCTCAGACACACTGGCTCTAGTAAATATAATATGCAGTTTTTATACATGTATAAAAGATTTATATTCAAAGTTTTGTCTAAATATTTGAAATATATTAAAAATAATATGTTTAAAATATTTAGTGCCTTCACACAAAATTGTATATACGATACAAAATGTATATACATATATAAAACAAGATTTTTTTTTATATTAATATGTCAAAAAACGTGTGTAAAATACTTACAGCGAGATATGGATATAATTTATTTAATTTCTGTAATATTTTTAAAATAGTTTTTTTATATCAGTGTTGCCATTTAAAAAATGTATTGTAAGGTTAGTCAAGTGTCAATTTTGTCTATCGAATCGAAATTAGCGGGCATGAACGGTAGTATAGGGAAGAGACTGGCCAAGTTATGAAGGTAGGCAGAGTGACCAGCCAATAACGACTTAATGTGATACTATATAGTGTCTATTTTAGTGTTACTCGCCAAGTGGTTACATCTGGATTGAACCGGATCGAACCACATGAAGCCAGCGAGCTCCGGACGATTAGTGAACGATTTTTATTTACATTTTATTTATTATTAAATAGATATTTATTTATGTCCAGTACATATGTGTACATGATCCGTAAACGACAATTACAATGATGTAATAAAACAAGTATTAATTGTAATTATAAATAACATTGTTAAACGGAAAATACAAGAAAGAAAGAAATCCTATATTGAGTTATAGAACACTGTTATAAAGTCATGGTTATACCACGTCCGCTGTAACTTGGCGCGGGTGACAGTTACTGATTGTACATTTAACAATTGCTACATTCAAGTTAATACAGTTATTAACGATTTAATATATCACAGAATGTGGTACAGCTGAAATACTAAGTCATAATTTGTAAATCGCGGCAAGTTTTAGGAGTGAAACGTTAATGAAACTGTCTTCCACACCAAGCCACAGTGCAAATGGTATAGGCAGTTTATTAAAAAAAAACCGCTGGTTTCTACAAGGTTAGAAGTATGTAATGAGAAAGCAATGGCTCGGTCCTGTGGTCTATGTCTTCAATATTTCAATATGGCAACACTGCATAATTTATCTTAAAAGTTGCGATAGTAAATAGCTAGTACAAATTTCCAATCCTATCTTGTAATCAATTATTTATATTTAATTTTGTACACGCAGTGTTGCCATATTAGAAATTATAGTGAAGCGTTGTTGATACAATAATGTTTTCAATGTGTATAGGTATTTAATTAACTAAAAAAAATTTAAGTAAACAGACGTAGCGAAATTATTGCTTGTGGTATATATAATTATATAACATACAAGTGCTCTGATAATGTAGAATCTGTTACTATGTACTTAACGTGTATTCCAGTATTTATTATCATATAATAGTTTATGGCGCCGTGTTCGAAATAAAATGTTGCCAGTGCAAAAATAAAATTATTGCCAGATGAAAAATAAAATTTTGGCTAACTAACCTTATTTAATTAAATTCGATTTTATTAAATATATAATCTTGTGACTCCTTGATAAATAATACTTTTGCTTATAATATTTAATAATGAACAAAACTTAAAGGCGAAAGAAAGAGATCTAAAACATTGTTATAATTAGTAAATTGGTCAATATACTAAGTAATTAGTATTTAATAATTAAATTTATAATTCTCAATATCGTAATCCGTAATATTTTCCGTAATATCCGTTATCGAACACGGCCCCCAAACATGAACAATGTCATATTCTGATGCCAAATATTAGTTACATCTGACTAATATAATTAGGATACTGTTACACTGACGACAGAACGCCGGGTATCGGAGCAACAAATAAGTCCAGAGGGAGCACGCAGTACAATAAAATTAAGTCACAAACGCGTTCTCTAAATAAATAAGTAAAAACGCGATTTTGTAAAACAGGTCAAGTTTATAAAAAATATTAAAGTTGTTATGAAGGAAACGTATCGTCAGAAAAGTTATAAAATTACTTTTAAAGTACAATGAATAATTGATGATTCATTCTAATTTTCATTTGTTTTTCTAATCATTTTTTGACAGCCTCGGTGGTCTAGTTGTTTAGCACACCGCTTTTCTATCCGATGGTCATGGGTTCGATTCCTCGCACGGTACAAACATTTGTATTCATGTTTGTTTGTATTGGTTTGGGCGTTTTCTATGTATAATATGTATTTATTTAAGAAAAAATGTATCCATGTATTTATATCAGTTGCCGAGTACCCATAACACAAGCTCTGCTTAGCTTCGGACTAGATGGCGCTGTGTAAATTGTCATGTAATTGAGATATTATTATTATTATTTCATTCTTATTCTACAACATTGTTTAAACTTGATACAATTTAATTAAAAAATCTGTTTTTTTCTCTATGCCAATCTTTATGGCAATTTTTCTTCAGTCGTTACGCACATATTGTATAACTTTATTTTCTTTATCACATCTTAACATATCAACTAAATACATACGTAACTCCTTCATTTATAGAGCAACTAACTTCTGCCTGCGACTGCGTTCGCTCGACCACGGTAACCCGTGGTTTGAAATATCTTTGGAATGAAATTGATAGCATTTCATTACAACCTCATTACGAAAAAAAAAATTTTAATTTGAATATCAGATTGACTTAAATTTTGTGATACGTCTTACTCCCTCTAGACGTGTTTGTTACTCTGTGGTAATATAAATTACTCGATTGAAAACGTAATCTGTGTACAGGAGACGTATATTATAAATAATTCCCTCTAGAGTTATTAAACTCATGAAATATCTGTGAAACACAGGGTGTTCCAATTAGACGGGAAGACAAATTGTTGCTAAATCTACACACAGTATATATTTGACGACGGTGGTGTAGCGGTATAGCTTCCAATGGTCGCCGATTCGATTCCACGCACGGTCCAAACATTTGTATTCATGAGTATGATTGTTTGTATCGGTGTTTTCTTTTTATATATTGTATGTAATTATAAAAATATCTATGTACTAGGACAATGAACCTAAAACTAAAAACCTTAAAAAATATACAATTTGTGACATGTCGAGATATACTGGTTGAATTAGCAACAATTTGTTTGAAAGGTAAAAACTCACTTAAACATGTCGTAACATGTTGTCAGTAGTACATGCATTTTTGTATAATATAAAACTGAAAACAAATCAAAAGTAGTGGAATGCTTTAGAAATAACAGGGGGAATAGACTGTATATAGAATTTTATACTATTTAGAGATATATTTGTTTAAGTGCGTTTCAACCTTATTACCTTATTCATAGAGACTAAAATAGCACTATACCTAAAATTAACTATCACAGTGTTATGTCTATTTTTTAAATTACGAATGTAGCTTGAGGGAAAAGGACAGAACATTTTAATAGTTCAAATGATTAAATGCTTTATGTCTATATGAATAAGGTGTATATCCGTCTGGTTGGGGGCCCATACCACGCCAGTATACCAAGTGCCTCGCCGAGGTTTGTATATATAGCTTTACGTAGACTGTGTGCCTGTACGTATATCAAATCATATGCAACAGTATACCTCATAAACTGTGATGTTACTTCCGCTCTTTGACCGACAACGAAAATGCAGTAATACTTAATGAATTTATATTATATTAGCCCATGTGTTATTCTGATATATAAGTTATATTAGTGTAAAGTTTCATTAAACTCCGTTCAGTAGTTTTTGCGTGAAAGCACCCGTTCACGAGTATGACGGATAATAACAATTCACACAGCGCCATCTAGTCCCAAACTACTCAGAACTTGTACTTGTATACTACAAACTAAGTAACAGGTAAAAATGCTCCAAAGCCAGATTTTTTTTAATTAAATGGAATGACAAATATGCTTTAGTCCACTTGATGGTAAGTGGTAACTGTCAACTTGTCATTTTAGGTAAAAAAAAATTCAATTAAAGTATGTATTCTTTTATGATGCTAATGGAATGGTGCCCCCGCCTGCACTAACGGTATACGCAGGTGGGGCACCAGTGGAGGATGTTAAGATGAGCATGAGGTCAGGTCAGTAAGCCTATCATAGTAAATTTGCTAGGAATTTACCAGGACGGTTTCCAGGGAAAACCGCTTGAAGGTCACACTGACATGGTACATTTGTAGCAAATGGGGTTCAGTCCAGAATCTATCACGATTGTTTCCAAGGGGAATCATTTGAACGGGGTTGGGGGAGGGGGGGGGGGGGGGGGCAACTTGACATGGCCCGTTATTAGCAATGGGGTTATTAGACCACATTACTAACAATTCCCTTCCTTTACTTTAGGGAAAAGTAAGTATTTTCACATTTTCCATAATTTCAACTACTAAGATCCAATTGCTGAGCGTTGGCGGTCAAGAGCGTAATGCAACAGCGACAGATAATATAAGAGAAATGCTTTAATAAATTTACAGATCAAATAAACTTGTGGCTACAGTATGCTGCTTAATCGCTTGTAAAGACTCGTTTATGGAAGCACAGAAATTATTCTTTTATTGTAATAAAAAAGTTTACAATAATACTATAATATGACGATCTCGGTGGTCTAGCGGTTTAGCACACCGCTTTATGACCGATGGTCGCGGGTTCGATTCCTCGCACGGCACAAACATTTGTATTCATGAGTATGATTGTTTGTATCGGTCTGGGTATTTTCTAAATATAATATGTATGTATTT